AAATGTGGTTCACAGTTTATTTAGGTCCTTCTGCCATAAATAAATTTAATAAATTGTTGTTTCCAAGGTCTTAGCTGGCTTACTGAGTCTCCCTCATGTGTAGCTCTAATTTGTAACAGTAATTTGGAAACAGTAATTAGCACACATATCAACCACTGAGCTTACTCTTCAATAAAGACAAATACTCTTTGTAACCAAATCATATATTCAGAATGTTGTACTTAACATTGACCTTTCGGGGTAAGGAACATTTAACAATGTAAAAAACAAAACAAAACTATCATTATTGATTAAGAATATGGTAGCATAGCACAGCCCTTGTATAAATAACCACAAGATTTATGAGAATAAAAATTGGGGTTTCTGCCTTCATCCAATCAAACCACTACAGTTCAGGTTTATGTTCTGTTCTAAACTTAGATATTACAAAACAGAAAATTGGTCCCAGTGACTTGGCATTGCCAATCAGCATAAGAATAAAACCCCTTGCTAAACCACAGAACAGACTGAAGTCACCACACAAGCCAGTCTTCTTGCCACTACTTTAGCCATGGTATAGTATTAACAACATTCTAATGGGAACTTGGTGAACAAATAGACTTCCTAAGTCTCCTATATGATATCAGAAAAAAAAAAAAACAATATTGAGAAGTAAACATTTTTAAAAAATTTCTACTACTACTATTTTTCTATTTATTCTTTTAATACCTCTGGGTTTGTTTTCTCTGACATTATTCTCTAGGGTTAGAGTTTTACATTTTAAAACAAGCACTGGATTGTGTGGTTGATCCTTCTCACAACCTGAACTATATTTGGTGATTCACTCCTGATAGGGACCTGGGGAAAAGAGATATATTGAGGAAAATACTTTTGGTTCAGAGAATTTATAAAGTAGCTCTGGATATTACAAGATGGGGGAAAATGTTATTAAAATTACAAACATAATTTTTTTAGTGTTTTTATAAATAAAAGGCATAGAATACAGAAAGCCAATTAATAATAACAATAACAACAATAATAAAATATTAAATATATAGTGAGCAAAGACTGAATGGCTCATTCTTATGAAACACCATTTGACACAACTGCCTCAATAGGTTTCCTTACTCTTTAACATTTTGCTGAGATCCAGCAAACACACAGTAAGCTAGCTGCCTTTAGCCCACTAATAACATCAAGGAACTGCCTGATGGAATGGCTACAGATGAACAGGTCATTTGTTTCAAAAGGTACTTAAATATCTCAATAAAGACATAACAAACCCACCCCCCCTCACTGTTATCAGACGCCACGTTGTGGTAGAACATCAGACAAACTCACAAATTTACCACAAAAATGTGTGGCAAAAAAAGAATAGTTTATATATATGTATATATATAAATTTCTATATTTATGCCAATGTACTCACTCAGTACAAATAGCAAAATAGTATACCATTTCCTAAATACAAAATATAGCTTTCCAAAAAAATGAAACACACATTAGATATAAACCATCCAAAACTTGAACGATTGAAAACTGTATTCAAAATTAAATGACCCAGAGTAGGTCTCTTTCTGAAAAGTTCCCTTCATATCGGCAAGAAGCCTGTACTACTGAAAACGTAATTCAATGCCTCTCAATCAGAGAGAGAAGAGAAGAGAAAGAAAGGGTTTAGGGTGGAAGAAAGAACATACGACAATAACAGAAAAAAACAAATTAGAAGAGCACATTCAAAGAACAAAAGACCATCATGAAAAGGGGTTATATTTGGCTGTATAAACAAAACCAAACACCATGATTCCACAGTCCAACTAAATATATAGGATAGAAAAAGAACAGAAAAGTAGCCTTTAACAACAATTAACAGGCTATTTTTTTTTTTTTACACTTAAAAGAAAGGGACAAGGATATCAACACACAGAAGCCACACACACGTTGGCCTTACACTGCATTGACAGCTTTCCACAAGCCAAAAGGAAGATGAGACATAAGCACGTGTCCAGACACAGGTGGTAGAAGCAGGCATCCCATGGGTGGCAAGAACACCCAAAACTGTGTAACTAATGCTACAACTGCAAGTTCTGGAGTGTGTTATTTTGCTCTTTATAGATGTAACACAAGTTAATTCTTCACTTTAAGTCAACGATATGACCCTGTAAAGCCTAAGGCTTGTGGGAACCATCAGGTAAGTGACCATTTCAAACTATAAAGCACTGAGGTGACAAGTGAATTATACTCACTGCAGCTCAGGGAGAAGTAACGTTTCAAGAAATTTTAGTTTGCCTTTTTTTTTTTTGTAAATGAAAATTTATTCTGTTTTCTATTAGAAGGAAAATTTTAAAGACTTCAGAACAGCACCGTTCATGGAAAAAAAAATACATTGTTTTCTCAGGAATCAACTTCCAATAATTCCTAAAAGAGGACTCCTTGCCCTGTGCTGCAGGATTGCTAGGTCACCCTGAATCAAAATGGCCTTTTCCTTTAAGTTGCTACAGGGTCACAAAGCCAGTAGTGTATTAACAGTTATCTAAAATAAAGTGAAAAATAGGGTGGAAAATAATACAGATGCATATAAAAAGGAAATACCAGCCAAAGACTGGATTAAGAAGAAACAGACTCAGATGACTCTGTCAGTTTAAACTCCTGTAGGAGGATATTAGACTATAATTTACCATGTATTACCCCCTTCATTTCTCACAGAGCAAAATAATGATTTTTCTATACAGTTATGGCTAAACCCCTTAGTGGAAACACAGAGAACTAACAACTCTTTGAAAAATAAAACCAATAGCATTCCAGCTGTCTCCATTTTTGTGTGTTATCTGCCTTTGCATTTAATCAAGTCTGTAGAATTTTTATTTCAGCTCACTTGTCAGAATGTTATCCCTTCAGTTTCTCCATAAAAACTGAAAAAGATTTCTTCACTTTGGCCAACAGCTGTGCTTTTCATAGTGAAAAAAATCACAGCCTTTTATTATTATTGAATTTTACTTTTTTATAAGCCATTACTTGACTAAAATAATGCAGGAAAGAAAATAATGAAGAATAAAAGTAAACATGACAATTATTATTTCCTAATAGCAATAATAACTGAGTGGTCCAGTCTTAAATTTAAATTGTACTCTTTTAAGAGAAATTACAACTAGGAAAATAACAATTCTGTCAGCTGGAAACTCAAATAGATTCTCAGTCATCATTGTTATCAGGAATAAAAAATAAGATGTTAACATTGATGGCTAATCACTGCAACAGGTAGCACAGGTGTGCTCTTTTGCAGTCAGAGTAAAATCTATCCATTTACTCAAGTACAATTTTTCATATTGTTTTGTTTTAGTAATCTTCATAAAACTACAAGTTTGCAGGACATCTTGGAATCACGGTATTCTTCATGGAATTTCTAAAAAAGAAAAAGAAATTTTATTACCTCACTAGCAAAGGAAAACATTTATAAAGTGTCACTGGGAATGATTCCAAAGTGAATTAGAGTATTATAAATGAATCTTTATAATATTTGTTCTTCAACAAATATCTGTAACTTAGTTTTTGTTTTTGTTTTTTTTCAGTGCTGAAGATTGAACCCAGGGCTTGTGCATGTGAGGAAAGCACTCTACTAACTGAGCTATATCCCCAGCTCTTAATATTTTTTGAAGAAAGGAGAAATGAGACATGACCATATTCAATATATAATAAAAGGGAAATACAATTTTCATTCATTAGATATTCTGTCATCCCAAGGTAAAGAAACTTAGAGATAAAAGGAATGCCCAATATTAACAATATAACCATAAACTACCATTCAAATTGCATGGGTTGCTGTTCTTGATTCATTGGGGCCATATTAAAAAAGTGCCATCAGCCAGGCACAGAAGGTGCACACCTGGAATCACAGCGGCTTGGAAGGCTGAAGCAGGAAGATCACAAGTTCAAAGCCAGCCTCAGCAACTTAGCAAGGTCCTAAGCAACTTGGGGAGACCCTATCTCAAAAAAAGGAGTGTGTGTGGGGGGTATACTGAGGATTGTCATTTAGTGCTGGGTTCAATACCTAGTACAAAAAAAAGTACTATCTTGGAAAAGTCATATTTAAAAAAAGATTTCAAGTCTAAGCAGTGCTATTACTTAAATCAAATCTGTTGAGAAAATAAGTTATTAATCAATATTTTTCAGTAAGATGCCAACATACAATACTTACATATCCAGTTAAAAGGAGCCAGTCAAGTTGTTCCCTTGGTTTTGTAATGAAACAAGCAAATCAATCTTTTCGATGTTCTGGTTGGTGTTCATAGAAGATGCTAGCGGAGAACTCTCTGGCATTTGCTGAGAAAGAAGTGTTGTCACAGGTGACTGTCCCTCGTTTTGTGGTTGGCCTGGCTGACTTATGGCCATCAACTGATCTGGCAATGTAGCTGGTCCAGAGGTTAAAAGCTGACTACAGTCTGCAGAAACATTAAAAACGGAAGCTACTTGATTAGTTAAGGTTCATGAGAAAATATTTATTAGTTAAGAGAAATTCATTACTGTGTTCACCCAGTATATTACTAAAAATGAGGCACCTAACAGTCTAAGAAAAAAAGGTTTTCGCAGAATGGTACTGGAATTTTTCTTAGGTTTCCTCTCTGCAGTATAAAAGCTAGATTGCAGGTGGGTCCCACTCTATCTGGCTTGTCTGAGATATTATCCACTATTCTTACCTTATTTTCCTTTCAAGGTTATAACTTGAAATGTCAAACATACATTTTAATATATTACCACATTTAATTCTCTTGTCAAGCAAGTAATATTATCACTGTTTTGGATGTGGAAATTAAGGCCCATAAAATTTGTCCACAATCTCACTATCTTTAATTGGTAGAATTTTGTTTTTTACCCTAGTACTGAGGATGAAACCCAGGGGCATTTTTTTTAATATTTTTTTTTTTAGCTGTAGTCGGACACAATGCCTTTATTTTATTTATTGTTATGTGGTGCTGAGGATAGATCCCAGCACCTCACACGTGCTAGGCGATTGCTCTACCACTGAGCCATAACCCCAGCCCTGCCAGGGGCACTTTATCAGAGTTATATCTCTCTTCTTTTTATTATTTTGAGATAGAGTCTTGCTAAGTTGCCAGGGCTGGCCTTGAACTTGCAATTCTCCTGCTTTAGCTTCTAGAGTTGTTGGGATTACAAGCATGCACCACTGTGCCAAGCTAATTGGTAGAATTCTAAGTAAAATCTGTACTTTTAAAACGACTGCATTTTGCTTCCTTCTAATACTAATAATCATTTGACCATTTCAATTGAATAATAAAAAAGTAGAAAAGTTTCTTACTATTCTGAATGCCAAACAGGAACATTCCTGAAGTCTGCTGGGATGAGCCAGGAGAATTCTGTAGTTGGTTCATTGTACCTCCTGCAGTATTGTGAAATAAAGTAGCTTGTGACTGAGGTGAAGATGTGGCTCCTTGGATTCCAGGCATGTTGTTCTGAGGGGAATAAAGAGGAGACTGTTGCATTTCTTGTTGGTTTATACTGGTCTGCAGTGCAGACATGGATGCTGGAGAGAGGAAGAGTGTTACTTGCTGCTCTTGAGAACTAGGTGACCCTTGTACCAACTGAATCTGAGGAGAGCTATGGAATAAGGAAGTCTGTGATGACTCAGATTGGTTAGGACCTGGGTTCTGAAGTGAGGAAACTGTGGGCTGATTCTGAAATTGCATGGGTTGCTGTTCTTGATTCATTGGGGCCATATTACTTTGTTGGTGAAAAATTGACTGGCTCTGTTGCTCTTGACTAGCCATTGGATTTTGATTTGGGCTGAATATCATGTTTGGTGGTGGTTGCTTTTGAGATGCTATTGTAGCCATGGTATTCTGATTACTGAATAAAATGCTCTGCTGCTGTTGCTGCTGCTGTTGCTGTTGTTGTTGCTGCTGCTGCTGCTGCTGCTGCTCCTGGGATGAAGAGTTATTCTGCATGGCAACTATTGAGTGTTGTGACTGGAAAATTGCTCCTTGTTGATTTTGAGGCATTGGATTAGGTGGAAGGGAGCCCAAGGACACCTGAGGCTGAAATAAACCTTGCTGGGAAGGTTGTGCCTGTTCTTGGGATAGCATAGGGGTCTGGATATGTGATATTGAAGCCTGCTGTTGGAAAGCAGCTTGCTGTTCAGTGTTTGATGTTGACTGAAGTGGAGAAATTGAGTTCTGTGCTGCAAAAAATGAAATCTGCTCTTCTTGGGATACTGTGTTAGACTGAAGATTATTCATAGAACTTTGGGAAAGAAATATGTTGGGTGGCTGCTGGTCTTGTGCAACTGAAGAACCCTGTAACACAGCGATGGAACTCTGAGAGTGAAACATTGGAGACTGCATTTGTTCAGAGGAAGTTGTAGAAGTTTGACTGTGGACAATAGGATTTGGACTATGAAAAATAGAACCTTGAGTTTCCTGGGAAAGGTTTTGAGCATCAGCAATAGGATTCTGAGGATGAAAAAGTTGAGCCTGTGAATGAGAAGACTGCTGCAGAAAATTCCCAGACTGAAGTGACATCATCTCATTCCCTTGCTGGAATAAACCATTACCTTGTTGCTGGGTACTACTATTCTGAACACTCATCATACTTTTTGTTGATGAAAAAAGGTTAACTTGAGGTTGATTGTCCCCGCTATGTTGCATCTGGACCATGGTCTGAAAGACACTGTTCTGAATCTGTTTTGTTTGTGCTCCAGTTTCTTCACCATCTCCTGAACTTGATGTCTGAAACATGGTAGTGCCAGGGGTTGCAACCTGCTGTGTGGTGGTTGTAGATGTTTCATTTCCAGAAACTGCAGGAGGCGAAGAAAACAATTCACATTGCATTTGCATATCCTCATTGGTAGGTAGTGCACTCATCATATGAGAAGGCTGCTGGTAAACTGGTGACTGTTGAAGGTTTCCATTTGCTGAAGCTGTTGAAGGGAATAACTCTGACTGAATTTGGGCAGCTGCCTGGCAAATACTCTGCTGCATCTCCATAACCATTGCAGCTGATGATTCCATCACTTGTTGTTGCTGTTGTTGCTGTTGTTGATTTGACAATGTGTTTTCAGTCTGTGGATGAACACTTTCAGCTCTTCCAGGTATTAAATTATCTGGTCTGGTGTGGACTGCGGACTCGGTTGAGGAAAACATGCCAGGGCTTACACTATTTTGAATTTGACTGACTTGTTGAAAAATGTCTGCACTAAGTTGTTCTTGAACATTCTCATTACCATCTGGAGCTGAAAATAAAACTGAAGATAACTGTTGTTGTGCCTCTAAAACTTGTTGGACCAAGTCAACACTTCCACTGCTGCCACTAGTAGTACTTCCTGTAAAACTTCCTGCTTGCAACTGCTGAATAGTATTCTGTAGCTGACTCACACTATTTGGTGATGGAAAAATATTTGATGAAATCTGCTGCTGTAAAGTCTGTGCTTGTTCTTGCAGTGGCGACTGCTGCTGTTGCTGTGACCCCTCAGTGAGTTGTGACAAATTAACTACTGTACCATCTGACTGTAATACTTCTCTAGACTGAGTTTCTCTTGTTTGAAATTGCGTAGCCTGCTGTAGTAGTGCATCACTGCTGGGCAACTGACTAGTTGCAGAAACTGCTGGAAAGGTCCCAGGCTGTGAGATATCCTGTGTTTGGATAGTTGTCAGGCTCTCTGGGTTGTATGCCTTGGGTTGAAGCTGCTGCTTTTCATTTTCAGAGGGTAAGTGAGAAGATGATGGTGATGAAAAGGACCCATTTCCTGCTATGTTAGAGATGTTTTCTAAAGTTTGCTGAGTTGATCCAACTGTCTTTGTAGTCTAAAAAATAAAAATCCCAAATAATGTTTATGTATACATTAAACAAGCATATGATACTTAAAAATAATTACTATTCTAAAAATGTAAGTAGGACCAATTTTCTGAATTACCATTTATAAAACAGGTATAAGACAATGGACTCTCCACGATAACATGGGGTATGATTTTAAAGTACTATAAATAAAGACAGTCAAAGAAGTAGAATAATAATTAGCTGTTGATATGCTCAGACAAATAAAGGATAACAAGGGAACATTAATTCTACGGTTCACAAAGGGCAGACTTCAAAATGCCTCAATTTTGTGGATCTTCAGTGACATTATAGTAGGAAAAAGCAAGTGAAAAAGGAAAGGGGAGTGCTGGGGTTGTGGCTCAACGGTAGAGCGCTTGCCCAGCACGTGCGAGGGCCAGGGTTCAATCCTCAGCACTACATAAAAATAAGTAAAATAAAGGTATTGTGTCCAATTACAACTAAAAAATAAATACTAAGAAAAAAAAAAAAGGAATGGAGAGTGATGAGAAAAGACTGGAAACAGATTAACATAAAATGTTCCTAATTGTGAAAATGCTTAAAATTAGTTATTTTTATTAATCATATGCAATGCAAAACAAATATGAAAGAAATAGAAAAAAAAAAAAAAGAAATACAGCAGTTTTTATAAGGTTCAGATTTGGAGCACTGGTCAATATAACTTACCTTAAAAATAGGGGAAGATCTTTTTTCTGCTGTTACTTCCATTGGAGTAACATCTTCACTCTTAATCATACTGCTCGAAATGAGTGGAGTGATGAGGGCATTGGGAAGAATATTTACCTTATCTAAGTTACATCCAGTAGTTTTCATTGCTGCAACCAAGAGAAAAATGAGAGTTTACTTTTTTTTTGCACGAATGGGCGGGGGTGGAGGTGGGTACCAGGGATTGAACTCAGGGACACTCAGCCACTAAGCCACATCCCCAGACCTATTTTGTATTTTATTTAGAGACAGGGTCTCACTGAATTGTTTAGTGCCTTTGCTGGGGCTGGCTTTGAACTTTGATCCTCCTGCCTCAGCCACTGGAGCTGCTGGGATTACGGGCGTGCGCCACTGCATCCAGCTATTTATTTATTTATTTTTTTACATGGTGCTGAGGATTGAACCTAGTGCCTCACACATGCTAAGCAATTGCTTCTACTACTGAGCTATAACCCCAGTACTGAGTTCACTTTTTTGTTGTCATATTGAAGATTGAACTCAAGGGAGCTTTACCACTAGGCTACACCCTTAGTTCCTTTCACTTTTTGTTTTTTATTTTGAGACAGGGTTTCATTAAGTTGCTGAGGCTGGCCTCAAACTTGCAATCCTTCTGCCTCAGCTTCCCAAGTCATTGGGATTAAAGGTGTGTGCCACTGTCCCAGTCCAACATCTGATTTGTGCTAATATTGATATCAGTTGATCTTCTTTTTTCATTCAAGTTATAATTTTCCTGGTTCAGAGTATGACTTTAAATTTTTTGTTTCCTGGCCATTTTGGACATTATGTTAGGTGACTCTTTCTTGGTTTTACTTAAGTCTATTTTATTTTATTTTATTTTATTTATTTTTAAAGAGAGAGTGATAGAGGAGAGAGAGAGAGATTTTTTAATATTTATTTTTAGTTCTCGGCGGACACAACATCTTTGTTGGTATGTGGTGGTGAGGATCGAACCCGGGCCGCACGCATGCCAGGCGAGCGCACTACCGCTTGAGCCACATCCCCAGCCTACTTAAGTCTATTTTAGTAGGTAGTTACTTATTTAACCTGTGTAGGTTGTCTCTACTTAAGTGTACTGTAGTTTCTTTTTTTTTTTTTCAGAGTAGAAATTAGAAGTTTATTAAAGGACAGCAGAAAAGACTTCTCCAGGAGGAAGAAGGGGACCCAAGAGGTGGAATCCCTGTACTGTAGTTTCAATGACAATTGTTTTCTAAGTCTTATTCTGGTCTGTTGTATTATTCTGGCTCTTCTTGACCAGACTAAAATTCTTTATATACAGAGATACGAAAAATGGTGCTCTATATGTGTAATAAGGATTATAATGCATTCCACTATTGTCTGTATTTTAAAAAAATAATAAAATCAATAAAAAAAGATATGTACTTAAAAAAATAAATTTTTTTTAACATGACAGTAGAGTGTATTTTGACATTACACATACATAGAGTGTAACTTCCCATTCTTGTGGTTGTACATGATATGGAGTTACACTGGTTGTGTTTTCATATGTGAATTTACGAGAGAGTTATATCCAATCCATTCTACTGTGTCTTTCCTATCCACTCCTGCCTCCCTCCAGCTGCATTCTTGCTGCTGGTAGTGCCTAATGAATGAAAGGTACTTCCCTGGGCTACCTGATGTCTTTGAAGGGAGTGAGAGATGTGGGACTGTAATAACAGAAGGCATTTTTCCTGGTATTTTCTCTGATCTCCTAGTGCCAATAGGCTTCCCAGGTTTCCCATTCTATCACTGCTCATGCTTCTGGGAGTAGAGAAGCATGCAAAGACAGCAAATGGCTGTCTTTTGCTATTTGGTAAAGGCTTGGGAGACTCTAGGCCTGGTTCACTTTTTGCCTCTGGGTTTCATTCTGTCACTGGATGGAAGTTTGAGAGATGCTTGGCCTAGATCTTTCTGCTATTTGGGTAAGGATAAGAAAACCGTTGGGGCTGGGGTTGTGGCTCAGACACAGAGTGCTTGCCTAGCATGTGTTAGGCACTGGGTTCGATCCTCAGCACCACATAAAAATAAAATAATGATATTGTGTCCACCTAAAACTAAAAGATAAACATTAAAAAAAGAAAACCCTGGGCTTGCTAGCACCCCAAGTGCAGACAGAGGGTCTTATTGTTGCCTGGTGTGGAAAAGGGGATGCACTGGCTCCTGGGTTCTGCTGTTGCCATTCCTGCAGACAGACAGACTGATCACTGATGCTAGCATGTGATCTGTAAGTTAGAGGCTAATCTCTGAAATGTAGGAAGGCCCTGTTTCAAAATAAAAAATAAAAAGGACTATATATCTCAGTGGTAAAGAGTCCCTGGATTTAATTGTAAGTACCACAAAAACAAACAAAAGAACCAAAAAAACAGTTTTCTCTTCTACCCGTGCCAAATAATTCAATCCCTAGCACCCAAAATAAATAAATAAATAGATAAATAAATAAAAAAAGAATTGAAATTTATAAGAGAGGAAATAAGAGAGAGACTTTTGAGGGGAAATTGACATTTCTATCTCTGTCATTTACTAGCTGTGTGATCTTTTTTTTTTCCCCTGTGGTGCTGAGGATCGAACCCAGGGCCTTGTGCATGTGAGGCAAGCATTCTACCAAATAAACTATAACCCAGCCCTAGCTGTGTGATCTTGAGCAAATCACTTAACCTCTCTAAGTTTTGGTTTACTGCCTATAAAGTGAGGCTGAACTAGATATCTCCATGGTTCCTCAAAACTCCCAAATCTTGCCATATATTACATCCAGTTAGAGAAAAATAATACTCAAATATTTTTCACATTCATCCAATTAACCGCTCCCTACAAAGCTAAAACTCAAAGAATGCACAGAAATATTTTATCTCTAGGTTCTAAATAGGCATAAGAGTGTTTAAGCAATCTATTTATTTATATTCAATATACCTGAACCCATATAGATATAGAAAACTTTCTAAAATTTTCCCAAGAAACTACTGACAACAGTATGCACTGCATACTTCATTTTACTGACTTAAATTACTTTTGTGATAAAGATATATACACAGGTGGGTAAAATTAACTTTAGAGAGAAAACTTTCAATATCTAGCTGTAATATAATCTTTGGGTATCAATTTCTAAATCATATTGTAATTGATAGCTATTTATAAGAATGAATCTTCAGGGATTATTACCATAACACAAATTTAAAAAGACATTTTCACTGCTCAGCCCTCATCGTTAAAGTACAGCTAATTAAATTATCACACAGCATCTTGACATAGTACTAAAGCTCTGATTTCAAGGAATCACCATAATAAGCTATCTGTGGAAAATAATTCCTTTCTGAAAATGATGGCTTTTTAAAAATCAGGAATCTCTATTTAATATCACTGCATTTAAGATGACAAATTTAAAGTTTAAATTGATTAGACAGTTAAATTATATAAATCCTCATAAAATTATTTTTTTATCCTACCTCAACTGATATGGTAATTTTCAAAATAAGAAAGTTTGAATTATTCTGCGTGCAATGGTACATGCCTACAATTCCCAGCAACTCAGAGGCTGAAGCAGAAGGATCTTAAGTTCCAGGCCAGCTTCAGCAATTTAATGAGGCTCCCAAACAACTTCTCAAAATAAAAAGATAAAAAAGGCTAGAGGATGGATGGAGCTCGGTGGTATTGCCACAAAGTTCAATCCCTCGTACTAAAAAACAAACAAAAAGTCTGAATTGTGAAAAATACTAATAGGTATAAGTCTGTTTTGTTTTGCTTGTAGTGCTGAGGATCTAAACCAGGGCCTCATGCATGCCAAGCAAACTTTCTACCACTGAGCCACATCCCCAGCCCTATGTCTGTTTCTTGTTCTTTTTTGGCTAGTAAGATTTTGATCAAAGGACTAAGTCATTTATTACTAAAAATTAAACATACCTTTTTAACCTTCAATTCTTAATCTTTATTTATTTATTTTTACATAGTGCTGAGGATTGAACTCAGGTCCTCACACAAGCTAGGCGAGCGCTCTACCACTGAGCCACAACCCCAGCCCTCAATTCTTGATCTTGTATAAGAAATTCTACATTGGATTAGTTATGTTCCACCCAGCCATGAAAGCATCACAAGGAATTTTTAGAGAAAAGACTAGATCCCAAAAGTTTACAATGGATAAGGCCATAAGGTCCCTGATATTCTTTACTAATTAATTAATTTTATTATTCAAAATAAACACAATTTGAATGATTTTCGCTCAGATGTATTTACACACTGAAGCTCAATCAATATTTTTTTAGTCCTAGCTAAGTGACCACGGGCAAATTATTTAACCTCTCTAGAGCTTTGGATTCTTTACTTACAAAATAGAAACAATAAGTTAACAACCTCATAGAGTTTAGAAGGTTAAATAATACCTATAAAGAGCTTAGATATTGCCTACCACTTAATATATGTTCAATAAATGTTAGCTAAAGATGTTTATAGATTTGTGAATTTTTCTTCAGCTGAATTTGATAATCCTGGCAGTTAATTTTGTAGGCAATAATTCCCCATTAAAATACTCTGGAAAATGTTTACCATCAATTAAATTAAATAATAATCAAATTAATTATAATTTATACTGAACCATTACATATATGAATACTAAACTTTACTACCGAGAATAAAAAAATTTACTGTATTTTATAAAATTGATTTGAGTAAATCATGCTCCTTGAGAATCAAAGACCATTTATTTATCTATCTATCTATTTATTGGTACAGGAGATTGAACCCAAGGGTACTTTACCATGAGCTACATCCCTAGTCCTTTTATATTCTTATTTATTTATTTTATTATTACTTTATTTATTTACATACTGGGGATTGAATGCAGGGACATTTTGTCACTGAGCTACATCCCCAGCCCTTTTTTATTTTTTATTTGAGACAGATTGCAGAGGACTTTGCTAAGTTGCTGAGGCTGGCTTTAAACTTGCAATCCTTCTACCTCAGCCTCCCGAGCCACTGTGATTACAGGCATGTGCTACTGTACCCAGTTCCAACATCTATTTGTTAAAAAATTAGGTTTATATGCTGAAAAAAGGACAATATCAAGTTGATAAACAAGTCTCTGCATTTAATAAAATCAAACATTTATTTTATAATGTGGATGATACCCTGCTAAATTTTATAAATACATAAGAGAAAACACATATTAATGTTTTCTAGATAAAACAGATAAGATCACCTAATTATAATTTTTGAAAAGAATCAACTTGGTACCTTTCATGGCCTCTTCAAAAGAGCAAGGTCTTGCTGGACTAGATATTTCTTTCTTCACATTTACATTCAAAGCACCAGCTGCTGCAATTAAAAAAAAAGTTCATGTATTTAAAGTAAATTTAGCTTAACAAATGTGTATCTTAGAATTCTTTAATTGAAATATTTTCTCACAGAGCATCCTATTGAGGACAGCATATGATCAATTATCAAAACAAAACAGCAATTTTTAAGAACACTTCTTGGAGTGGAAGCAACTCAAGAAGTTGAGACAAAAGGACTGCAAGCTTAAGGCCAGTCTGAGCAATTTAGCAAGATCCTGTCCCAAAATAAAAAATAATAGACATTTAAAACTTACTAAATAATATTAGAATATTAACAATACTCAGCCCCATATAAAAATGAAATAAAGATATTGTGTCCATCTATAATTAAAAAAATAAATTAATATTTATTTTTTTAAAAAGCAGAATGAGGGATGAGGATTGCAAGTTCAAAGCTAGCCTCAGTAACCTAGTGATGCCCTAACAAACTTAGTAAGATCCTGTCACTAAAAAAATTCAAAAGGGGGCTGGGGCTGGCACTCAGTGGTAGAGTGTTCCACCGGCACACATGAGGCACTGGGTTTGATCCTCAGCACCACATAAAATATAAAATAAAGGTATTGTGTCCATCTATAACTAAAAAAATACATACAAAAAAAAAAACAAAAATAAAAAAGAGCTGGGGATGTGGTTTTGTGGTTAAGCACCTCTGGGTTCAATTGCTAATAAGAAATAGAATAAAAAAAAAACTTATTTAAAAAATATAGTCAATATTTAAGTTTGATTAAAACAACTGAACAAATTAAATCCACAATATTATGATTATTCTTTTTTGTAACACTTCCGACAAAAAAAAAAAAATTCGCTAGTATTAATGAAGAGCTGCGGGTTACAATTCTTAGTCATATAATTAATCTACTATCACAACTTTAATTTTAATAAGCCTGAGAATAGAAATCAGTTCTAAATGAGAAAACTAAATAAATACGTTCTTCTTCTTCTTTTTTTTTTGTGTGGTGCTAGGGATTGAACCCAGGGGCCTTGTGCATGTGAGGCAAGCACTCTACCAACTGAGCCATGTGCCCAGCCCCTAATAAATAGGTTCTTGCTTCAAATAACCATATATTAATTTTATTCAAATATATTTTATTCACTAAATCCAATATAAGATTTGAGTCAGTGAATTTTTAAGGTATTTTAGTTTTTTTTTTGTTTGTTTGTTTGTTTTTGCTAATGGGGATTGAACTCAGGGATGTTATACCACTGAGATACATCCACAGCCCATTTTATTTTGAGACAAAATCATTTAAATTGCTTAAGTTGCTTAGGGCCTCACTAAAATGCTGAGGCTAGTCTTAAACTTGTGGTTCTTCTGCCTCAGCATCCCAAGTTGCTGAGATTACATGCCCAGCTAATGCATATTCTTTTTTTTTTTTAAACATTTATTTATTTTCTTTTATTTTTTGGCAGACACAACATCTTTGTATGTGGTGCTGAGGATCAAACCTGGGTCGCACGCATGCCAGGAGAGCGTGCTACCGCTTGAGCCACATCCCCAGCCCCGCTAATGCATATTCTTGACATGACAATGTCAAATGATAGTTATTGAATAAGGAGACAAAATTGCACACATCTAAAAAATGAAATTTAATAATTTATCTTAGTATGCTGCATAGTAAGTGTAACAAAGTGTAACTGAGCACTTTTAGGCACTCAAAAAGAAATACTACAATTTCTTGTGTGACACTAATTTTAATAATTAAATTATTTTAATAATTAAAGATTTAAAAACTGGAAAAACTTTAAAAATTTCTACTTTTAAATTATTAGTAATTTGTTTTTAGGGCAGCAAAAAAATGAGCTGGGTACAGAGGCACACACCTCTAATCCCAGCAATTCAGCAGGGGCTGAGGCAAGAGGATTGAAAGTTTGAAGCCAGTCTTGGTAATTTAGAAAGGCTCTGTCTCAAAATAAACAATAAAAATAGAGGGTTGGGGATGTAGTTCAGTAATAAAGCACTCTGGATTCAATCCCAGTTTTAAAAAAAAGTTTTATATATATTATATATATATAAATGAGCTAGGCAAGTACTCTACCACTGAGCTAGGGGTTAGTGAAATTATAAAAAATTTTAAAATTGCATTAGATCTCATTACAATGTTTGTGTATCATGTATTAAATACGATTTTCTAAAAGTGACTGCTATCTGTGATGTATACCCAAAAGGTATAAATTTTTTTCAAAAATTTATTTTTAGTCGTAGATGAACAACACCTTTATTTTATTTATTTTTTATTTTTTAAAGAGAGAGAGAGTGGGGGGAGAGGGAGGGAGGGAGGGAGGAGAGAGAGAGAATTTTTTTTAATACTTATTATTTAGTTTTTGGCAGACACAACATCTTTGTTTGTATGTGGTGCTGAGGATCGAACCCGGGCCGCAAGCATGCCAGGCGAGCGTGCTACCGCTTAAGCCACACCCCCAGCCCACAACACCTTTATTTTATTTGTATATTTTTAATGTGGTGCCAGAGACTGAACCCAGTGAGTCAGGTATGCTAGGCAAGTGCTCTACCACTGAGCCACAACCCCTATCCCTCAAAGGGTATAAATTTTCAAGAACAAACATATGGTAATGATTACCTAAGTATGGCCAAATACAGGCCATTAGAGCATTTTTTAAAGCAAAAGACATAAAAGCTTATTTGGTAATGTATCAAAGAAAAATTCCTAATAGTCAGCACTCATCACTAAGAAATGAGGATTCTTTTTTTTTTTTTTGGTGGTGCTGGGGATTGAACCAAGGCATTAGGCAAGCACTCTACCAACTGAGCTATATCCCCAGCACCAAAATCAAGATTCTTGAAGGTGATGCTCAATACTTCAAAGTCTTGAAGTTTTTTATAACTAATAAATATAAAACCAATAAATCGGGGCTGGGGATGTGGCTCAAGCGGTAGCACGCTCACCTGGCATGCTCGGGAGGGCGCTGGGTTTGATCCTCAGCACCACATAACAATAAATGACATCAACCAGATTTCAGTGTTTTCAGAATAGCAAAAACCATTAATACTATTTATTCTTTGGCACACACAGCACTCTCTCTTCCCCCATAACTGATGTAGAAGCTCATCAGGAAACAGATCCTAATATGTTAATTATGTCATCTTTTCCCTCATATTTGTGCATTCTTCTGTAAAATATTACATATCAGTATTTCATAACTAGCAGTTACTGAAGTACCTTAACTATATTAATTTTAAATCACATGTTTTGGATTTTTAGGCCTTCTGAGAAAACAAAAACAAATATTTGGACTCTTACTATAAAGCAATCTTCTTTCTCCTCTTATTTTTGTTGAAGCCAAAATATTATTTCCAAACCATGCCTTTTTGGTTCAAAGTTTTTACTTATGACCTTTAGTTCTGAGAAAAATAGCAAGGGGAGTTTCATTAGTGCTATACACTGTGGCATGCCTTTGTAGCAAACTCACTGTAAATAACCAATACTGCAAAATTCAGACATAATTAAAAATAGGGAATTAGATGAATTAATTACCAAAACTAATTATAACTCTATTAGCTTCCATTTCCCTCATTTTTCTTTTTCTTTTCTTTCTTTTTTTTTTTTTTTTTGAGATGGGAATCTCACTGTGTTGCCCAGGCTGGCCTTGAATTCCTAGATTCAAGCAATCCTTCTGTCTTAGCTCCCAAGTAGGAATATGCACCGCTGCACCTAGATTTGTTTCCCTTATTTTCTGATGCCAGGGCTTTCTTTCCAAATCACTTTTCTTCAACTTCTTCTATCTTACTGGTCCTGAACTATTTGGGGGAAACATATTAATAAACTACAGATACGGAGGGCTGATAATTATTAAGTATGCCTGAGACTGGAATAAACTGAATCAATAGTAGCCATGGTAGAAACCAAGCCTCAGTCAATGGAACACAGGAAGAGTTTCCATTTCTAAAATATTTTCCTTACTTCTAGCAGAAGGCTTTTGTCTTCTTCAGGCAACTAAATTAATGCAGGCAAACAACTTACAAGATAATTTTTAGCAAAAAGCCATCAAACTTTTAACATTTAATTATTCTTGTCACTAATTTCTTTCTAAACCATCTTATTTTGCCTAAATATTTAAAATCATATTTAAAATATTCACCACCAGTCTCTGAAACTTTTTGACTTTATCACATACTACTACTCCAAGTATATTCCTCACCTCTCTCAAAAATGTATCTTAAGCTAGGCACAGTGGTGCACACCAGTATCCTGGGGATTTGGGAGGTTGAGACCAGAGGATCACAAGTTTGAGGCTAGCTTTAGCAACTTAGCAAGGCCTTAAGCAACTTAGTAAGATTCTGCCTCAAAAAAAAAAAAAAAAAGAAAAAAAAAGACTGGGAATGTAGCTCAGTGATAAAGCATCAGGTTTAAACCCCAGTACCAAAACAAAACAAAAAAGACTAGGTAAGAGAAAAAAAAAAACACCATAAGAAGGTTGGAGTGTATACCTCAGTGGTAGAACATGTGCTTAGTATGCAGAAAACTCTAAGATCAATCCTCAGCAAGGTACAAACAAACAAACAAACAAACAGAAACCCTATAACTAGCCAATTTAAACTATTAAGTAATTTCCCAAAACTGTCACTTACCTTCCCGCATATAAGAAGTACCAATAAATGGTCATCCTTATTAAGTAGTGACCTGTAAAGTAGCTCAGGAGAATCTGATCTCAGAGCATTCCTGGCTTTTATTATTATAAAAGGTAAAAATAATCCTGCTTAAATAGAAGTTGTATTCGATGGCTATCTTTTTAGGAAATAAAGCCATCTCCAAAATAAATTCACCTTAATTTGTCACAGAGAACAACTTTTTCTCTTTTCTTGGCTGGTCTTCTTATCTTTTTAAAGAGCTAGAAATTAATTATTCATTTTTATTCAGAATTTTTCTTTTTGACATACCTGGATCTGGAGTGTAGGTGAATGGCTGAACATCATGGGATCTTCCAGCATTGGTCACTACATATATCCCCACCGATACAGGCAAAGTTATATGTTGGTCATGATATGGGGGAACCTTCACAATAAGATGGTTCTAATTTAAAGAAAAATACAATAGTCAGAAAAAAAAACAATATTTAAATTTAGAAGACTAAATATATTTCCTATTAGCTTTAAAGTTTTAATAGTCTGATTAGGAAAAAAAATGTATTTTTAACCTCAGGTTGATAGGTACTACTAGGTCATTAGTCGAAGATATCCTTAAGGTAGAAATCAAAATGTTTTACAATGGCTTTCAAGGTCCCTGCTCTGTCAACTTCATCTCACTCCCACTTCCCCCCTGCCTTACTACAAACTGACTTTCTCAGTCCATTCTTTTAACATACTAAACTCAGTTTTATCTTCCAATTGCTGTTCTCATCAACTGTAATATTCTTCCTTCACCTTCTCAAATGGCAAGTTCTTCACAGATTTTCAAATCTGATATAAATGTCACCTCTTAAGTGAAATCTTCCTTTGACGATCCTGTTTAAAGCAGAACCCCTTCCGAACCTGGTCAGATAATTATTTATTTCCATATCAGCACTTTTTGGCACTTGAAATTACCCTAATCCCCTGCCCACTCCACTTTTGGTCTCTCTCCAATAAATGTAAGCTCCATGAGGTTCCAGACTGCTCAGATACTTCAATGTATCTCCTCTGTTAAGAATGGCACCGGGCTGGGATTGTGGCTTAGTGGTAGAGCACTCGCCTAGCATGGGCGGGACCCGGGTTCAATCCTCAGCACCACATAAAAAAAATAAAGGCATTGTTTTGTGTCTATCTACACTTAAAAAAAAAAATTTAAAAAAAAAAATGGCACCATATTCAAAATACACTCAAATATACTTGTTGAACATTAGAGCAAATTATGAGGAAAAAAGTATGTCCATGAAATGCAAAGTCAGTTATCATGTGTTCTGTACAACCTCAATGAGATGTACTTCATAATGCAGTTCATTCCTCCCTACCACCTATGCATTTAAAATTAAATGGTTCAGTTTATTCAAGCTTCAGTAAATAAGATACTTTTAGTTAGAATATATACATCTTTATAAGTAAAGGACAGAGCTGGGGCTGTAGCTCAGTGGCAGAACACTTGCCTAGCATTTGTGAGGCAATGGGTTCGATCCTCAGCATCACATAAAAATAAACAAATAAAATAAACGCATGCTATCCATCTATAACCTCAAAAAGAAATCAAAAAACAAAAAGTTCATGTGTTTCATCAGCATTTACTCAAGGGGGTTACACTTTCTTGGAAGATAATCTGAACCACATTTGAACTTTTTCTCTTTTTCCCTAGTAAATTATACTAATGGGAAGTAACACTAGGAAGGAAGTGATTATGCTTTTACTTATGATCTGACATGGAAGAGGCCAAAGCCAGGGTGTGGTAAATTTGACATTTCTTTTTTTGGGGGGTGGGGAAGTAGCAGGGATTGAACTCAGGGGAACTCAACCACAGAGCCACATCCCTAGGCTTTTTTTTTTTTTGTATTTTAGAGATAGGGTCTCACTGAGTTGCTTAGCACTTTGCTGTTGCGAAGGCTAGCTTTGAACTTGTGATCCTCTTGCCTCAGCCTCCTGAGCTGCTGGGATTACAGGCATGCTTATTTCAGTTAGAATACAGCTGATGTTCATTAGAATATGGGACAGCCAGGCACAGGGGCACACCTATAATCTCAGGGACTTGGGAGTCTGAGGCTGAAGGATCAAAAGTTCTAGGCAAGACTTGGCAACTTAGCCAGATCTTGTCTCGAATCAAAATAAAAGAGGGCTGAAATGTAGTTCAGTGGTAAAGTATCCCTGGGTTCATTGCCCAGTACCTATCGCCTCCACACACATAAAAGAAAAAAGGACAAATGAGGTCAAGTTTCAATTTCTGAGCACTTAATTTGTATCTTAAAATACTCTCTAAAATAAACTAACATTAAAAGGAATCAGAAAGAACAAATGAAAGAAAGAGCAAGCTCCCTTTCTAATAGAATACCTCATAATTTAGCCATCCTGAAAGAAACCACACATTTTTAAAATCAGGTTGAAAAACATGTAGTATAAATGTGTATGCATCTTCAACTATTTGGGGAGGAGGATCTGAATGAATGTTTGGTCATCAAAAATATTCCAGTAATGATTCGACTGGTAAGAAACAGAAGTCTACTTAGATACTATAATCACATCAAAGAAGAGCCCTCCTAGATTTACAAAATAACTGAGTGGTTGACTTGCCAAGCACTCTTCCACATCTAAATTATATGGCAAACTATATTTCAAATTATCCTTCTGAATAAAAAAACTGTTTCTTAGTAATTAATAGTGGGATTAGTATTTAAAATTCAGATGCATATTTTATCAAAATACTTCTACCATACTTGTTTCAGAGAGCATGTTTAAGCAAACCTAATTTGAAACTTTTAAAACCAAATGAACTTTTTGCCCCCTCAAATGAACCTCTCGACACTAATTCTTCATACTTCCTCAATCTTAATCTAGAAACTCTACAATCCATTTGAAATAAAACAAGGTAAATTGTGAACAGTAATCAAAAGTTGTTTAACACTGCTTTTTTAAATTAGGTGCAATTAACTACCACTGAGCTAAGAATACAATATATACAAAATATCCAAAGGTATGGGAGATTTTATAGCAAATATAACATTCTCTGGGGAAAAAGAGGGAAATGTTCGAATTTCAGTATCTTAATAAAAATCTGCTTGGATTCAAAATAACTATTTTTCCCACTTACAGAAAATCTTTTTTGAGGTATACAAGCAACGGGGCTATATATTTTTCACTTTCCTGTGAAATAATTTATCATTGTCAAATTCATTTCACAGCTGGGGATATATGTAATTGGATTGGAAGAAAGACACTTTGCAAGATTTCTATTACAGCCAATTTGAAATACCTATTTTCTAAACACTCAAGTCTTTGTTTAGACTAGTTTTCTTATAAATTCCCCTGAGAATCTTCTTCTAGCATTTCTTTCAAGAATTTCTTATTTATTTTAGTCTTTTGGGTATCTGGGATTGAACTCAGGGTCAATTGACCTCTGAGCCACATCCCCATACCTATTTTGTATTTTATTTAGAGACAGACTCTTACTGAGTTGCTTAGTGCCTCGCTTTTGCTGAGGTTGGCTTTGAACTTGCCATCCTCCAGCCTCAGCATCTCCAGTCACTTGGATTACAGATGAGTGCTGCTGCACCCATCTCTTTTCCATTTATTTATTTATTTATTTATTTATTTATTTATTGTCCCGGGCATTGAGCCCAGCAGCTCAGGAGGCTGAAACAGGAGGATCTCGAGTTCAAAGCCAGCCTCAGCAACTTAGTGAGGCCCTAAGCAACTGCCAGATCCTGTCTCTAAAAACATATAAAAACAAAAGGGCTGGGGATGTGGCTCATGGTTAAACAATCCTGGGTTCAATCCCTGACACCAAAAAAGAAAATCTGATAATGACAGATCATATTATAGTTTGTTGTTTACATACTTGCTTGCAAAAATATCAGACCTCCTACATTTAGCCACCAAATAAATATATAATTCCTTTGCATTCTATCACGTCTTACTTCTATGATTATTTTTCTTTAAATCTATTGTATCTGACCTAAATGCCCTGTTAAAAAAAAGTATTTTAAAATAACTACCCATGCCCTCAAAGGGAAAGAAAGAAGAAAGGAAAGGAAGGAAAACCAAGGAAGGAAGGAAGGAAAGAAGAGAAAAGAGGGAGAAGGGAAGGACCAGGAAGGAAAGGAAGGTAGGGAGAAATAATGACCTGTTTAAATATAAAGTTCTACATTAAATAGCAAATTAAGATTAAAATTTATTGGAAGCCTGGAGGGGAGATGGGAATGGGAAAGACAGTAGAATGACTGGACTTAATTTTCCTATATTCATATATGAATACATGACCACTATAACTCCACATCACGTACAATCACAAAAATGGAAAGTTATACTCCATGTATGTATGATATGTCAAAATACATTCTACTGTCAAGTATAACTAAAAATAAAAAATAAAAAAAATTTAAAAATTTGTTGGGGCTATTTTATCATATAATACCAATGTTTATTAATATTATGTAGCATTTATAAGTCTTTCATTCTCTAGAACTTGCCTCTTATTTATAAATCTGTATCATAGGTATAATTATAATAGAGCATTACAAATAAGGGGAGTTACATTTTTTTAATATTTATTTTTTAGTTGCAGTTGGACATAATATTTTTATTTCACTTATTCATTTTTATGTGGTGCTGAGGATTGAACCCAGGGTCTTGCACGTGCAAGGCGAGTGCTATACCGCTAATCCACAACCCAACCCTGGGAATTTACATTTACCTAATCAATTTGTTAAAGCAAAGTGTCACAAACCTATAATCCCAGCCATTCAGGAGGCTAAAAGCAGGGGGATTCTGAGTATGAACACAAACTGGGCAATTCAGGAAGAATTTAAAAAAAAAAAAACTTGCGGGGGAAGGAGGTAGAAATGTTGCTTAGGTAGATGGCCACTGGGTTCAATCCCCAGTATCACAAAAATAAAACAAATCAAAACAAGAACACAGTCACAGCATACAAAATATTCCAGGGATAAATTAATTTTCAGTTAGGATTAAAATTCTAGGTATATAAAAACATGACTGAAATTAAGATTTGAAGTGTTTTCAGAACAAAGAGACCTTGGACCAGAGTCCTCTTTTCATTCAACAGGAATAAAATGAATGGAGAAGTTTTTCAAGAGTATCTTCCCCTCTACCCCAGTCAGTACTGGGGATTGAATCCAGGGGTACTGGATTCAATTTGATAGGAGTATCTTTAGGGCTTTGGCCACTGGACAAACTAACAATTGTGACTTATGATGAGTTCTCTGAAACATGCCATATCAGTTCTAACCTCTGATGGAACTGGAAACTACAGGTCAGGGCACAGTGAGCTACATCCCCAGTCCTTTTTATTTTGACACAGAGTCTCACTAAGTTACCCAGGCTGATCTCCAACTTGAGAACCTCCTGCTTCAGCCTCCTAAGTATAGCTGGGATTAAAAACGGATGTCACTGCCTTTGGCTCATGATTGTCCATTAATCGGCTAGTATTATGAGGATCACAGAAAAGCCACACAATATTGCCCCCTAATCTTCAGGAGTACTCTCAAGGAAGCTACTGCTGGTTTACAGGGAATAGGGATGGTCTGATCAAGGAATATACCAGCACCACATACAAACAAAGATGTTGTGCCCGCCGAAAACTAAAAAATAAATATTAAAAAAATTCTCTCTCACTCTCTCTCTCTTACTCTCTTTAAAAAAAAAAAAAAGAAAGAAATCATAAAAATGTCAGGGTTAGAGCTCAATCTTGTGCAAGAGTTTATCTTGTAGATTAGACAACTGAGGCACAAAAGTGACTTTTCTTTTTTTTTTTTTTGAGAGAGAGAGAAAGAGAGAATTTTTTAATATTTATTTATTTATTTAGTTTTTGGTGGACACAATATCTTTATTTCATTTTTATGTGGTGCTGAGGATCGAACCCAGAGCCCTGCGCACGCCAGGCGAGCGCACTACCGCTTGAGCCACATCCCCAACCCTGACTTGTCTTTCTTAAATAACACAGATTGTTCATTACAAAACAGATACTAGAACTTCAGTTAAGAGTGGTAAAGAACCCTAGGAGATACTGTGCAGTAGTATACTGGACAAAGGAATGACTTAAGTTCTACTTTTACAAGTAGTATAAAGCTAAAGGAAAGCTTTCCACATGGCATTTGTCTGGTTATGTAGGAAGCTCCAGATCTTGTAATACTCTGTAATAAAGAATTAACTTTACTCAAAGAAAGATCTGGTTTTTGTCCTTGGTTATTGGGAAGTGATCTCTAGGATCCTACAACTTGATAGGAGTATCTTTAGGGCTTTGGCAACTGGACAAACAAACAATTGTGACTTATGATGATGGGCTCTCTGAAACATGCCGTATCAGTTCTGACCTCTGATGGAACAGGAAACTACAGGTCAGGGCACAGGCAATATACAATCAAGTCCAAATAAAAACTCTGGACACTAAAAGCTTGGGTGAGCCTCCCTGGTTTGGCAATTCTCTGCAAGTTGTCACTCACCGATGAACTGAGAGGAATACTTCCATAAAGATGACAGAAGCTTGGCTTTTAGCTCCCTCTTGCCCTCTGTGTCTCCCTTCAGTTGGTTCTGATTAGTATCCCTTTGTTGTAACAAATTTATAATCACATGCAATTTCTAGAGTTCTTTGAATTTTAGCAAGTTATTCAATCTGAGGAGAAAGTGGGAAAACCTAAATTTTAAGCTAGCTATCCAAAGGGACAGGGACCTGGAGACTTCTAAACTTTTGGCTGATGTGTGAAGTGAGAGTGGCCTTGGCTATTCCCTTAGTTTGGAGTTTGGCAATATATTAAATTTAAAATGTTTTATATTTTTATTAGTTTTTTTTAAAAAAAATACACAAAGGAATAAAACAATATTTAAAAACCACAAAGAAATTATAAAGTTTTTGGATAAACTGGGTATAGTCTCCAATTCCTGTCTCTTCCACATCTCTGCTTGCTTCCATGTTCTCTTCTATTGCTATCAGCTCTTTTCTAAATTTTAAGCTTTGGGTATTTTACACTAATTAGCTTGTCCCTTCCTCTCTGTCCCCAATCTGTACCTATACACACTATTCTTCTGCATGAGCCATCTAACCTACTTGCTCATAGATTTAACCATTTCTTCTGTTAGTTTCAATTTCTATGAATTTGATACTATTTGCTCTACATACTAATTCTTAGGTTTCTGTACTTGTTTTCTAGCTGTTTTTCCTCTAATGAGGAAATAAATAATAAATAATTTTAGAGAGCAATGCATGGAAAGGTCCTACATATATGAATTCTATCCCCCTCAAAGACTTTTTTTAAAATTTTTTTTTAGTTGTAAATTTATTCATTTTTACATGGTGCTAAGGACTGATTGAACCCAGTGTCTCACAGGTGCTAGGCAAGTGCTCTACCACTGAGCCACAACCTCAGCCCCCCAAAGATTGTGATGACTGTGTCCAAATTTAAGGAAATAACTTTAACAAATATAAAGCACCTGACACATAAACAGGTACTTAATAAATATTGGTTTTCCTGTGATTTAACTATACTATAGGGTAAGATAATCCAAATCCTTAAAGAAAATACATTCCAGGAAAGAAATGCTTTATTTATTAATAATGGCAACCTCTGCTAATGCTCTTAAATTTTGAAAAGAGAGAACTAGTCATGTCTGGCATCAGAGGAATAATTCTATTTCAGTTAAGGAAACTCAAGAAAAAAAAATTTGAGTCACATCAATCCCATATAATGATGAAATTTAATCTGTTCAGAAATTATTTTCAGAACAAAACTGAACAGCTCAGAGTAAAACTTATAAAAAGGCTTAAATTATACCTGATGAAACAATTCCATGTCGATTTCAGCTTCTGATTTCCAAGAGTTTTCATCTGGTTGAAATAAAAAGAGTGACTTACTAAATTTTTGAACAACTGTTTTACTCTGTGGCTAAGATTGTATCTTTATAACAAAGTGAAAAATCTAACAATCTACTAATTTGCCTACTTACCAGAAACATTTTCTTGGAAAATAACTTTAGTTCCTTTCAGAAAGTTCTTGCCAATTAAAAACACTTCTTCCTCTCCTTTCACTGAACAGCTATGTAAGCTTTTTTTTAAGATCTCTGGCACTCCTGCTGGTTGAGCTGTGGGTATACATAAACATTCCATGAAAAGAACCATCAACATTTACTTCTTACCTAAAATCAACATGCAATTATATATTGAGTTCTAGAAGTTTTCTTTGTTCACCCTGAATTTAATGTCCTTTACAGAGGACAGAGAAAAAAAATTAGAAAATATATAAATTTCTAACAACTATTGGAAGATATTATAGAGCTAGATAAGTGCCTAAGATGAGTTTTTCATTTATTATATATCATCTTTGATTTCTCATTTCATGAATGATGAACCTGATGATGTTTTTGTCTTAATAATATTTTTTAAAAATTATAAGCTTGTCCTAGTCTTAACCTTTAAATGTCAGCTGTACTATACCATTACATTATAGTATCTCTGAGTAACAAGAGGTATGTGGGTGGTACTGAGAGTATATTAAAAGAACTAGGCACAGGACCCAGAGACCCCAAACCAAAAGAAAACCTAAAAACAGACTAAGCCCACTTTTGGATCAATCATTCTACCAGGATGGTTTTCCGAACCAGGAACCCTGAGATGAAAAAAAAGATGCACTTGTTTTTCAACTACAAAGATGAAATAACCACTACTAAAATTAACAAAGACAAGTACTGAGGAGCTAGAGATAATAAGAAAATTGCAATTAGCCTAACAAACTTCTTTAGGCTAGGATTTCCCTAAGAAAGTGTGAGAAGTTGAGAGGGGAAATATGGAGTTAAGCAGAGCTAAACAAAAGGATATCTCTAAGCTTTTCATACTGTGATATGCTCTATAAATATCCAAAGGTGTCCTTACTGACACCTATTAAGGACTAGCTATCCAACCAATAGATACAAATAAGTTTCAAGTACTCAAGAAACTTCAGGTTATCAGAACCTGATTGAAAAAATCACACTGTCACAGATTATATTACTTGCTGTTTTAGCAAATCTTTACAACACATGTGTTGCAAAGTCAAACAAATATTGCTCATCTAACTTGTTAATTTATAAATTAATGAGACTTTTCACTATCTTTGGAAAATTCAACTTCAGTTCTTTTAAGATATTTACATATTTTATTTATAGTTGATTTTATTTTTATAATAACATAACGCGCAAAGGTGTGTTATTGTACAAATGTTTACTGTTCCCCAGGCCCTTCTTTGTAGGAAGGCTATAATTTTTGTCCCACTCACATCAAGCTTAGTCATATGACTTGTGTGGATAATGAAATGTGAATTGAAGTAATGTGCCAAATCCAAGAGAAAACTGAAATGGGATAATAGTGGTATCCTGGCAATTCTATATCCTATCAAATAAAAAATTAACTAATCAATTTACTTAAAAGTAATTTTTTGGGGGGGGGGACTACTGTGGACTGAACTCAGGGACACTGGATCAATGAGCCACATCCTAGCCCTATCTTGTATTTTATTTTGAGACAGGGTCTGAGTTGCTTAGTGCCTTGCTGTTGCTGAGCCTGGCTTTGAACTCGAGATCCTCCTGCCTCAGCTTCCCGAACTGCTGGGATTATAGGCATGTGCCACCATGCCTGGCTTAAAAACAAAAAATATACATGACTATATTGTCTACAGAATTCTTTTTTAAAAATATTTATTTTTTAGTTATAGGTGGACACAATATGCTTATTTTATTTATTTATATGTGGTGCTGAGAATTGCACCCAGTGCCTCACACGTGCTAGGCAAGCGCTCTACCACTGAACCACAACCCCAGCCCTGTCTGCAGAATTCTAAAGATGTTATTAAGAAAACCTATATACAAGAACATAAGGGTAATTTTTATTTCCCTCCAAGTAGTAAGGATTTAACCCAGGACCTCTCACAACATGCTTGGTAAGTACTATACTATTGAGCTATATCCACAGCCATCCACAGCCATCGTTAAACTAATTCAAAGCACGAAATTGGTTACCATAGAATATAGAAGGCATTTTGTATTGATTTATTATAACATAATAAGAAATATACTTACAAATCATATAATTTATCAGTAGGATATTGGCATTTAGGCATTTAATTGGTTGTGTGTGAGGGGGTGTACTAGAGATTGGGTGTGGGGGGTGTACTAGAGATTGAACCCACTGGAGATTTTACCACTGACCACATCCCCAGTCCTTTTTTATTTTGAAATGAGGTCTCACTAAGTTGCTTAGAATCTTGCTAAATTTCTAAAATTAGCTTCACAAATTGCAATCTTCCTAACCTTAGCCTCCCAAATGGACAGGATTACAGGAATATAAGCCACCCAGCTTCAAAGCTGGATTTTTTTTTTTAAAGAGGTTTATTTTTTTTCAGTTGTTGATGAACCTCTATTTTATTTATTTATTCATATATGGTGCTGAGAATCGAACCCAGTGCCTCACATGTGCAAGGCATGCGCTCTACCACTGAGCTACAACTCCAGCCCCAAAGCTGGAATATTTTTTAAGGTCTCAATGCATAGCATAAATCCCGGCATTTGTCCTTTCCAATCAAAGACTCTAGATATAACACCAAGTATGTTTCTCCTCTCCTCCCTTCTACCTTCATTACCTTGAGCCCCTCTTCCTTTTTTACTTTCATCTCCCTGATTCCTTCTATCTATCATTCCAATTCCAATCTTGCTTAGTAGCCTATTTCCTTTTCACCTCCCCCTCTATTCCAACTGCTCAAACCTGCCCCCAAAGGTTTATATTCATGCAAATAAATATAAGCCAGAAACATAATGGAACAAATATTTTTATTTTTTAAATATAAAGATCTTTTTGAGTCTTTTGTACCACTGTATTAATTATTTATCCTTCCTCTTCCCTCATATGCACCCCCACACACTGCCTAATTTCAAACCTCAAGCTTCCGAAAGTGGTTAGAATAAAATTCAAATTCTTTAGCTCAACATTCAATTGTCTTTATGAAAGAGAGCTTGTTTAGCTCTCTAACCTTAAATCTTATGACTTTTTCATGCATATCTTTTTGTTCCAATCTTAATAGTTTTTTTCAATCCCTCCAAAAAAAAAAAAAAGAAAATCACATCCTTTCATGATATATGTTTATATGAGGATCTTTTTGGGCTCAAGTGATCATCCTGCCTTAGGCTCCCAAGTAGCTGGGACTGCAGGTGCATGCTACTGTTCCAACCCTTGACTACAGTTTTTAAAATTTCAAATTTTACATGAAAACAAGATGGAGTATATGAAACATCTAAAATTTAGAGATTTCTTAAAGATCAAAAGAAAATTTATAAACTCTCCATATATTTAACAGCTACATATTTTCTTACTTACTACACAAAATCGGAGAAGAGGGTGTTTGCAATGTCAAAGTAGAGCCATCTTTCCTTGTGATATTAACTCGAAAAACCAATCTGGCACGAGTGCTTTTTTTCTTGGAACCAGCAATTCCTATTCTGGCTTCAACATCAGCATTCCTCAACTTCAAAATTCCTACACAGTCCACACTAACACAGAAAAAAATATATTAATTGACATTTTGTTATAACATAGTACAACATTCTTAATCAAACAAGTTTTCTTTTAAATATTTTTTAGTTGTAGTTGGACACAATAACTTTGTTTTATTCATTTTTATGTGGTACAGAGGATCGAACCCAGGGTCTCGCATGCATGAGGCACTCAAGTTCTACCACTGAGCCACAATCCCTGCCCCAAGTTTTTTTAAGAGTATTTATCTATAAATTTTCTGAACATGTAATGTAGTTCCAAACTCAAAAAAACACAGAAGTATAAATTCTGAACATTCATAGTTCCTAATCTTCTCAATATTTTGTTTATAATAATGGAAAAATAGTAGAGATGAAAATCACTATTTTAAAATCTAAACTGAAGTAATCAGTGGCTTATAAGAGCCTATTTCTTTTTCTTTTTCTTTTCCATTTTTTTTCTTTTTTTAGCTTTTTATTATTCTTTGTTCCTATTTTCTTACAATGAATGTTTTCTTTTTTCTTTTTGGTGGTGCTAGGAATCAAAACCATGGCCTCACACATGTTCAACACTTGCTCTACCACTAAGCAGCATCTCCAGTCCCTGTTTTTATAATCAGCACCTCTCTTACTTTCTTCCTTTACTAAATATATTCACTTTTATAACTTTCAAAAGCTACCAGTCAAAAAAGCAAATCTTAATATTTCTCAATAACTAACCTTTCATCAATCTATTCAAAGCAGCTTTCAAAAGGCAAGTGGTGGAGAGCTTGCCTAGCAAGTATGAGGCAGTAGGTTCAATCCTCACCACCACATAAAAATAAACAAAATAAAGGCATTTGTCCATGTAAAACTGAAAAAAAAAAAAAAAGAGGAAACTGAAAACCAAGTAGAGAAAAATCTGTAACAGCTATCTATTACAAATAATTACAACCCAGGTTTGCCCCAAATCAATATATTTACTAGTGGCATGGTTCAATTTTAGGACTAAGGATCTTTTACAAAAAGCTTAAGAAAAAAATAAAAATGTAAATCTTTAATTCTTCAAATATTTTTCAGGCAGTGCAAATGCACAAGACAAAAAAATGCATGACCTTAGGATTTAATTTTTTTTAAATAAAGGAAAATAAAAATAAAAGATGAATTTAGACCAGCAATATGCTTTTCACATCAAAATGGGTCAAGACAACGCATGGTTTATGTTGAACTGTTTCTAAAGCAAACATTAAGAGCAGAATTTAGAAAGGCAAATTGAATTGTTTATGATTTTTATTTTCAATTTTAATATTATAAGTCTTTTTTTAAATAACCTTATTCATTTTTATGTGGTACTGAGGATTGAACCCAGGGCCTTGCACATGTAAGGCTAGCGCTCTACCGCTGAGCCATAACCTCAGCCCCAATATTATAAGTGTTAATAAGTAAAATATCTGTAATTTTCTAAAAATCGTATATTTCACTTGGTTTTCATTTCCCTACCTTTCACCACAGCAATTTCTCAGCAAATAGCGACAGAATTAAATTTAACTCATTACCATTCTGTAGTAATTTTTAAAATTTATATTATGGTTTGAATATGAAGTGTCTCCTAAAAGCTCTTATTAATGCAACAACACTCAAAGATGACATGATTAAATCATAAGAACTATAACCTAATCAGTCCATCCTAGTTTGAAAGGGCTGGCTGCATGGTGACTGTAGGCCAACAGGGTGTGGCTGGAGGAAGTGGGTCATTCAGGAGGTACCCTGAAAGGGTGCATTCTTTTCCCTGTATTTCTTAGCTCATTCTTTCACAAGTGTGTGCACTCATGTGTAGTCTCTCTTTTTCTGTTTCCTGATCCCACCATGAGTTAAGCAGCTTTCCTCTGCTAGGCTCTTCCCCCATGGTGTGCTGCCTGAAAGCAATGCAATTGCTGTTAGTCCAGAGCAATAGAGTCAGCCATCTATAGACTGAAACCTCTGAAACTGTGAGCCCCAAAGAAACATTCTCTTCTCTAAGTTGTTCTTATTAGATATTTTGGACACAGCAACATAAAAGTTAACTAAAGCAATTTATAATATTTAAAATATTTCAAGAAAATACTTGAAATCTTCTTTTATACACTAGAAACTAAAACTTTGCCCTAAAATGAAAGTGTAACATACAATGAAAACTTTTTTTTTAAGTTGTTGATGGACCTTTATTTTACTTATTTATATGTGGTGCTGAGAATCGAACCCACTGCCTCACTCATGCTAGACAAGCGCTCTACCACTGAGCTACAACCCCAGCCCTGAAAACATTCTTATTTTTTTTATTTTTATTTTTTTGTGGTGCCAGGGATTGAACCCAGAGCCTTGTGCATGCAAGGCAAGCACTCTACCAACTGAGCTATATCCCCAGCCCTGAAAACATTCTTATTAAGTACTTACGCAAGTGTCATGTTGTTGCTAGGATCAAGGCCAACTTCTATAACAGTGGTGCCTTCAATGTCCACTTCTTTGCAGGGAGTTGTATTTCGTCCAGTTACCCTGCAGGCCTGATAAAATCCATGTGGTTTCACTCGGCCAGAGTCATTGCCCACAAATACCTGCAACACTACTGGTTCATTATGGCCTTCCAGCTGAAACCAGATAACATGTAGCAGAAACACTAATTAACATTTCAAGTAAGGTAATTATAAAATATAATATTTAAGCCCTAATTCTGTATTTGTAAGTGGATTAAAGAAATAATTTAAATCCTCAAGAAAAACAGAGGTAAAATATTTTTATAATGGAGAGTTGGCTAAGTTTCTGCAGAAAACTGTAGTTTTAATTCACAATGACTACATTTCAATTAAAAAATTTAGATGGTAGAAGACCTAAATTATCATTTGAAACTTACTTGTACCAGCAGATGAAAATGAACACATACTCCTTTTGATAGCATATAGTTACTCAGGACATACCACCATCATTCATAGAAAACTGTATTATGGGGCTGGCTTTGTAGCTCAGTGGTATACACTTGCCTAGATGTGAGGTACTGGGTTTGATCCTTAGCACCACATAAAAATAAACAAAATAAGGTTTTTGTATCTATCTACAACTAAAAAATTAGAAAACTGTATTATGTTAGTGGCATCATTTTCATTATCAAATGAGTATATGTACTAAATTTTTACTAAAGCCGTAAAAAAAAAAAAAAGTGTTTCAAGTGCAGCTGAATAAATAATATGGAAATGAAGCCCATTTTCAAAGACGAGGTATACATATACACACATGCATATGTGCATGCATACACACACACATATACACACACACACCATCATGAAATTCTGGGACCAAACACATTCAGAAAAACTAGCTAGTTCAAACTAGAATTCATGGATCATTACAGGTCTCTAGAAAAAGTTTTCATAAATTATAATAAATATTTAAAATAAGAATAAATATTTAAAATAATTTGAGAGCAAATATTTCCAATCTCAATTCTTGATAAGGCTTTTAGTTAAACACTAAAGCTGATGATACAGAACACAGAAAAATCACAAAGTAATTTGTACTACATACACTAAAGTGCTTTAAAAAACTTGTACGTTTTTTCTGTCCCAATATAGTGGTATATTTGTGAAATTATAGTCATATGAGGCAAATAATCAATCAAATAATAAAGTACTCAAATTGATAGTGCTAACATGTAAAGGGATGTAATATTTGTTGAATGAATAAATAAACAAACTTTTTTTTTTCTTTAAAGAGAGAGTGAGAGAGCAGAGAGAGAGAGAGAGAATTTTTAATATTTATTTTTTAGTTCTCGGCAGACACAACATCTTTGTTGGTATGTGGTGCTGAGGATTGAACCCGGGTCGCACGCATGCCAGGCGAGCGTGCTATCGCTTGAGCCACATCCCCAGCCCAATAAACAAACTTTTAAGGTCAGTCTATTCATTCTCTATCATAGACAAGAGGACTAACATCTAACTAGCTAAGTACTTAGAAAAGCATAACTTAAAAGTCAAGGCAAACAGGTTTTTAAAACCATTGACCAAACTATTGAACTGCTGAACTGTCTGACCACACAAATATTTATCCAATGAATAACTCAAATTATCATTTGCTGGTTACTTGTCCATGGTTTGAGGACTGAGGGATGAATTAGGGAGGAGCCAAGATTAAGTAAAGATGATATTGTACATGTGACTATTAATCAACCTTATAAAATGGTCAAAGGCAAATTTCCTAATTCTGAGTATCAACCATAATTTCTTTCAAGCATAAAATGAAAGGTAACCCAATTCTACTCTAATTTTGAAGTAGAGTTCACCTAACATGTTCATACAAATGGTGTTTAATAAGACTTTTCATGTAACTAGCCAAATTTCCCCTCAGTACAGTATTTTGCAAGGGGTAGGGACAATTGTTAAAACATCCCTCATCTCCCCCACCTATTTATTTTTTGCTTATTTTATGTTCAAAGAGACTTTCTTCTTTCTCTATTTTTTTTTTTTTTTTTTGTTGTTGTTGTTGACATTGTAGGAGTTTTGAGCCCAGGGCAATTTACCACTGAGCTACTTCCACCGCACCTTCTCTTTCTTCTTCTTCTTCTTCTTCTTCTTTTTTTTTTTTTTAATTTTGAGACAGGGTCTCACTCAAACTTGTTATTTTCTTGTCTCAGTCTCCCAAAGCACTGGGATTACAGGCAGGCACCATAGTGCCCAGAACTATTCTTTATATCAAGAACTATAGAACTATTCTTTATATCAAGATATCCTAGTCAGGCCTATAGTACACGCCTGTAATCCCAGTGGCTCCGGAGGCTGAGGCAGGAGGATGGCAAGTTCAAGGCCAGCCTCAGCAAAAAGCGAAGTGCTAACCAACTCAGTGAGACCCTGTCTCTGAATAAAATACAAAATAGGGCTGGGGATGTGGCTGAGTGGTTGAGTGCTCCAATTCCCAGTACCAAAACAAAAACAAAAACCAACACACAACCCAGGTGCTGAATTTAAACCTTTTTTAACTTTGAATCCGAGTTCTGAAAATATTAAAAAAAAATATATATATATATATATTTATATATATATGTATTGGTACTAGGGATTTAACTCAGGGACACTCAACCACTAAGCCATATCCCCAGCCCTATTTTTGTATTTTATTTAGAGACAGGATTTCATTGAGTTGCTTAGCACCTCACTTTTGTTTAGGCTGGCTTTGAACTCACAATCCTCCTGCCCAAGGACTCTCTGGAGCCACTGAGATTATGGGCTTGCGCCACCATGCCCAGCCAAAAAATTATTAATATTTAATTTACAACCTATTTTTAAATTAAGACTTATTACAAATAATCAACTCTTCTAGGTTGAATAGTTCTGATTACTTTAGCCATCTCAAAAGTCTTATTTTCCAAGTCTTTAATAATACCCATTATATCTTTGCATTCACTTTAAAATTTCTGCTTTAATATAAAATTTGGGATGAATTTAAATCCAGTGTAAATTTTAAGAGAAAGATAATTCATGATTTATAGATATTTTACTTTTGAGAACATAGTCTCACATTTCATTCAGACTAACACTCAAATGGTATCAATGTGATATTTGGTTTAAGGTCCAATTAGCCTTTTACTCTGTTTTCAATTATATATATAGATAATAATTCTAATCTTCTGTTTTAGACAGCTTTTGCTGGGGTTAAAAACAAAAAAAAATGGTAAAACTGGAGAAAATTCTTCATACATTACTAAATAAAATAAACACCTTTACTGTAGGAAAGCCTTGCTGTGTTCTATCTTTTACTGAGCCACGACTTCCCTCAGTCAGGTACCGAGCTCGGTGCTGGGTCTCAGGTTGTACAACTATCTTCAGCTCCTTTCCCTCACTTTTAACTGGATACTGTCCACACAACATAGGGCTCTTCTTTACTCCAGTTCCTTTTTGGTTGTCCAATGTTCTGAGAAATTGAAGCACAACATGAAGAACATATCAAAAACGGTTTTCTATAAAACTAAGATAAAGGAAGAAACAGAACAGGCAATAACACTTAAAACAACTGCTTAGCTTACTGACAAAGTACAGCCTAAAAGAAGGTACATTACATAACTAAAGTATCTTCAAAAAATTTTCAACAAAATTTAACTGTGATATAAAAAAGAAAGTTGGACAAGAAAAAGAAAGAATGCATGTGACCAGCTGGAAGAAGGAGGAAGACTGCATACAATAAACTATGACCCATACTTACACACTTCAGTCAAAATAAAAATTTTTAAAATTATACATATATGTGAGTTCCTACATATAGTTAAAAGTAACTATCATTACTCTCTTATCAGACTTCCAAAGGGGGGAAAAAAGAAAAATAAACAGGAGCAGCAAAAGACAAAACTAAACCAAACCTTCAATATACATACACATACAGAGCCCAAAACAACAATGACAATATACATAGCATATTCTTTTGAATCTCTTTCTCAGTAAGTCAAAATGATAAAATTAGAATTTAAAAAATCAGTGATTAAATTTTTAATGGGAAATTACTTTGCTCTAAATAGTATTTCCTAGAAGTATGGTTTTTCAGAGTATTTTTATTTACTTAAAATAATTAAAGCTCTCAATAAAAATGTTATAATCTGGGCTTTATAGCATCAACAATCTAACTTCATAAAATTGTGCTTTAAAAAATTTTTGTTAATATTGCATTTGTTATGTGTAACTATGTTAAAAAAATATTCCAAATAGTGGTTAGGCTAGCATATATAATCTGTAAAGTTGCTAAATCACTGCAAATATGTAATGAAAATAAGAAGAAAACAATACTGTTAGATATTTTTTTTCTTTTGAGCAACATAAAATGCATTTAAAATTATCCATGTATATTTTTAAATAGTCAGGGTGTATAATACTTTTTGACTCGAATTGAAGGTTCAGAAACCAGACACAGACACAGAGGACAACATCTCCTCCAAAAGTAACCAGATCCCAGGAGGAATATTAGGACTTCAAACACAGAAGAACTAAACAGCCTTAAAACTCTTTTAATGTCTACCCAGAGGGCGTAACCAAGTTGTTGTCTCAATCATTGAGAACAAAGGAAAGAAAGGCAGTACCCTCAATAGAAATGAGGACAGGGTTGACAAGCCCCTTGGCTAGGAAATGGGCAGAAGAATGAAGAAAGCAGCAATGGAACTGACATAGAAATGCAGTAAGAAATCCAGTAAAAGGAAGAGTTCTCAGGGCAAGGGCTGTGCTTAATTAATTGTCAGGTTCAGGAACTGAACAAATGTTTGTTGATAAAGGCAAATAGGAAGAAGAAATGCACAAAGAAAGGAAAGCAGAGGATCCTAACTGGACAAGGAATGCCATTCATGTAAGTTTGACATAATGAACTTGAAGATTACCTGTGTAAGTCATTTTAAAAGGCCCTGGAAGAATACATTCTATGAACAAGAGGATCAAGTTGAAGCTGGAACAATGGGCAATAAACCCTGCTTTTCTTTTCATCATTCTGGATAGAAATTCAAACATTTGGTCTGAATAGTATAAAATTCCTTGCAAATGAAATTCTATAATAATAATGTTTTATGTTCATCTTACTATTAAATAAAAAAATTCATTTATTAAAATATGTAAAACATCCCCCACATATACACACAGAGGGACTAAAGAATAATAAAGCTGATTTACTAGATTATTGACTATTTTCTTGTATTTTCAAATATTTGTAATTTATATCTAGCAATTCTATAATAAAAAAGGGAAAATTTTAGTTGGAAATATAAAGAAATTGAGTATGACATTAATTAATTTGTCTAGTATAGGATTTTATGTTTACTTAAGCTAGTCAAGTTTGAAATGTGGGCGCTGGGGATGTGGCTCAAGCGGTAGCATGCTCGCCTAGCGTGCATGCGGCCCAGGTTCGAATCCTCAGCACCACATACAAACAAAGATGTTGTGTCTGCCGAGAACTAAGAAAAAATAAATAAATGTTAAAATTCTCTCTCTCTCTGTCCCCCCCTCTCTCTCACTCTCTCTTTAAAAAAAAAAAAAAAAAGTTTGAAATGTAAGGGTAAATAAATGGAAATAAGTGTTACTAGTCTAGAAAAACAAAATACCTTATTTGGGATGCAGACTGTTGAGTGAGTTAATAAAATATATATAATAAGGCTTGAAGACAAATAGCAGGCACTCATAGTGGTGCATGCTTGTAATCCCTGCTACTCTGGAGGCTGAGGCAAGAAGATCAAGTTTGAGGTCAGCTTCAAAAATTTAGCAAGACAATGTCTCAAATAAAAATAAAAAGTGCTAAGGTTGTAGCACAGTGCTTAGAGAGTCCTTGAGTTCAATCCCTAGTAGGTTGTTTGGGTGGTTAGTTGTATAGCCCTTGGCTAGCATGTGTGGGGCTCTAGGTTCCATCCCCAGTACCATAAAAGGGGAAAAAAATGTAAGCACATTGAATTAAGCAATTTCTGAAATGACAGTTTTTCTCCAAACTTGTTTATATCTCTTAAGTTTAAACAAAAAAATATGCATATTTAAACCTATAGACACGTAAAACAATGAAAACATTAACTGATTCTTGAAGTCATTACAATTTTTAAGGCACAGTGGCTTAAGCAAAAATAAGAAAGTAGCAACAGTTACCTACCCCCCACCCCCACATTTGGTGATGCTGGGGATTGCATCTAGGGCCTCTCCCATACTAGAAGAGCACTATGATTCTTGGACTACACTCTAGGTTGATATTTTATTTTATCCACTGTTCTGACTATTGTTGCATATTCTATTCAAGAGTCTTAAAATGACATTCTTTTTCCCTTGTGCCAATCTTTTTTTGTTATCTTTGACACAAAAAATAATTTCCACTGTAAAATGCCTAAAATAGGTTTCATAATACACGGCATCATATCTTAAACTTCTCAGGAATAGTTAGAAGAGATATGGACTACTGATTCTCAAAACATTTATTTGAATTTCAGCATGATATGGCTAGCAATATTTAAATACTGAAGAGCTTTTTAATAAGTTTGTTTTTATAAACTCTTAACATTTTAGTTATAAAAAATGGTATTTCCATTTTTATCAAGATTTCTATCTTGAAGGTCAATAAGCTAAATGTATTTCAAAGAACATTTTTTAAATACTTAGCATTATATGAATTGCAAATTATAGCACATTAGTTCTAAGGCTATATAATTTATCTCAAAACATTTTAAAATTTCATATTTTTAACATCTTTTTCGTTATTGAAGAATATGGGTTACCAGCTTGGGATGCTCTGAAAAATTGTTTTCAAGGCCCATTTTTCCATACATTTTATATATGGCTTCATCCTTTCCTCCTATAGTTCTTATAAATTCAAATTTTAAACTTCTTCATCATTTCCATATGCTAGTGTCAAATAATTTTCCATTACCTAAGAAGCTGGACATTTCTTCTTCTGCTTGATGGAGTTTCTGCTCCATGAATTATTTCATGAAAGATTTTGTCTTGACCAATGTCATTACACTTTCCCTGGGTAACCTCAAATCATTTCTAAGATATATCTATCATACAAAAGCAGAAGCAAAAAAGATGTAGGTCAAGTTCTCTTTAATTAGCAACTGCAAATCACTATGTTGACTATCCCTAAGTCAAATTTTTATTTTCTCTTAATGTGGAATTTTAATATCTCTTCTAGTATAAATATGAAAATCTCTCACTGGAACTTTATGAGACCTTCTCCATTGAAACCCAAATAAATATATGTACATATATTTAATGATTTTCATGAACCTTTTAGATCTGTGCTACTAGTCACATTTACTTAAATGATGTGTGATATTCATTGTTTTAGTGCCTTATTCTCTATATAATATTTCTACAGTTATTATGTTCTGAAATTCTTGAATCTGTTAAATGGCAACATTTTAGGAAAGGATACACCTTGCTTCTTTTAGGAAATTCCCTAAACTATACTTTTTCTAAAATGGAAAAGCAGTTTTATTAAACTATATCACTCCGTAGGAATATTAAATTAAAAAAGTGTAAAAGAAATCAATATATTAATTCTTGCTTATGATGGATATTAGTTTTTAAATGTACAAAGGGAATATTTAAGGAAAAGTCTAAACATATCAAGAATATTCTCTATAATAGTCAAACAGATTTTTAATGAGATCAATGATATCATCATGTAGGAAACCAATCTAATGTTTCTGGGCAGCTATTTGTGACAAACTGAAATTGTAAGGGATTATGGGTCAATGAAAGGATCATAATCATGTCTCTGCCTCCCAAAAATGTAATTCTTAAAATCCAATGAGTTAAATTTTACTAAACTATGTTGAATAAATTGTAGGAAAATTTAATTTTAAAAATCTAGCAGCTAAATTTTATAAATTAAAGTACTAAAAAAAAAAAGTTTAAAATAAGCCATACTAGTCTGTATTATAGCAGTGAGTACCCTTTAACATAGCTATTGAAACACATTTATTTAGTGAGAAGTATGAACTGGCATGAATGAACAAAAACTCAGAATGTGTACCATGATCCTGTTACAGTATCTTCTAATAAGTTATCCAGAATCACAGAAAAAGTAGTCGTGATTTTCTTAAAAAAATAAATAAAAAATAATCCTGAATTGACATAACTTATCCAAGAAAAAAAGTTTAAAACATATGAACCTCAATGACTAGAATCAAATCATCAATTTAGTTTTTTCTAATTTTCATCAAGTAAAAAAGGGGGGGAAAAGATAAAATCTAAATCCTCTCAAAAATGTAATGGAGTGAACCATATGAAGACACAATCTCAAAGAGAACACAAATTATCTTTTGAAGAATGTTTTTGTATTGGTTTAATTAGAGTCATTACACTGCTACTTATGTCAATAAGTAAAAATATTTTAAAGTTCTTTTAAAATACAAATTCATTTGAAACTTAGAAGTTATTTCAAAACAGATTATTGGTATTTTCTACTACCTATCCTCATACTAATATACCTAAGGCTATACTGTTATTTTATTTTTTCTCTAGTAAAACTTGATAAGTTTAAGTTAAAATTTTCATGTATTTCAATGATAAAATTAGCACCTCTGCTTTATATGCAAACTTGAGCTGAGCAATTAAGTTGGGAATGATTTATTTTTTTGTTTTGCATAATGGTGATAGAACTTTAAAAAATGTGAATACCAACCCATTTCCAGCTTTTGAGTTGCCTTTGTTGTCCGTGGTAAGCTGAGAAAGCACATAGTGAGGTGCTTTGGCACTGTCGGCATCAAATATATCCATATTAGATTCTTCACAATCTCGTCGTTTGACCCCCGGCCTCTGCTTTGGATTTCGTTTTCGTGATTTACGAGGTACCTCAGTGTTATCATTGTAGGAACTGGTGCTCATGTTACTGAAGTTGGAGGGGGAATCCTCCATCCACATACTGCAGCTCTGCTCAGATTCCAATCCACACCCCTCATCCTGGCAGGACATCCGACTGTTATCCAGCAAGTCCTCGGGTGGTGGTGAGATGTACAAAACTGTGTGCCTCTTCGGGGTTGATGGATGCTGCTGAACTGTGTTACTGGTTAACTGCTTTTCACTTACCCCTCTGTTACTTACCCCCACGGCTGAGGAGCAGCTCTCCACTTGCATAGCCTTGCTGTCGGTGACTGAGGTAGAATAAATGGTAGGGCTGGAAGAGGTGGTAAAGGAGCTGCAAGCACCGCCCATGGAGGAAGAGGAGGGAGCTGAAGAAGCATCTGCAGTGTATAATTCAAGAGTAAATATACTATACATGTTTTCACCTATGCTGGCTAGCAGTCCCATTGAATATGTGATTTGTGAACTGATTGTTTTTCCCCAAAATGAATGATTGGAATTTGGTAACATTTTAGAATATAAATGCTTCAAGCAATACAAAGCCTAAGAAATGAATTTTTTAAAATGTCCAAATAGCATTATTTTACTTGTGTTATAATTGATAAAATTTTTAAATCTAATTTAATGTTTTAAGCTGTAAAGCAAGAATAAAATTTTTTTATTGCCTCAGCTGGTCGTTCTGTTGAATTTTAATCAGTTAAGGTAATAAAGAAAACCCCAACATGAAATATATGTTTGTGGTCCACATTCAATGCCAATTAAATAATTCATTATAGAATTTGAAAAGTGGGACTGTGCTTAGCCACAAAATATTAAAATAAGTTTCTAACCTATGAAGCAGAGAACTACAGGTCATTTTTAATGCAGACACTCCCTGCTTCAGAGGCAAATCCTGGAATAAAAATATGAGAAAATAAATGAGAAGAGCTGCTGATTATTCCAGATATCAATTATAAAATGAAAAATAAATAGAAAAAAATATATAATCAACTGAATTGGAGACAAAATGGAACTGGTACCATCACTATCATTGGATGTAAAATCTAGAAAAATAAAGTGAAAAAGGTTTGATTTGGAATATGCCAGGTTGTATAAGAAAAATCAGTTAACCATTGAGAGTCTACAGAAGATGGAAGTGACAGTTCAAAACCATGAGCTCTAAAAGACAGAGATCCATCCCTTAAGATGCATGAAAAGCATAGTACAGGCTGATTAGTAGATGGATTTCTTGTACAAAGTACTTGATTATGTGCTCAAAAATTGGTTAACACTGTCCATTTCCTTACCCCTTCCCTTTAACGATCCTGCTTATTTGGAACTATTAAAAAAATTCCTAATAAAAATGAACAATTGGCTGAAGTCTTAACAAAAAAGGGTAAAGTATAAAAATCTCTGGAGAGCATCAGAATTAATTCCTATAAAATTTTTTTTTAATTAAACTGTTTATCAATTCACCTAGCAAAAAAAGGTGATTTAGTAGATATTTTCAGACTGTGAGACAACTGGCAGTCATACTGAAAAGATACTACAACTGTAGCTTTTAAAAAGCATAACCTTGGAGTCACACTATTTTGTTAGGTTGGCAGGTGTTACTGGTAAAATTTTACAAATACCAATTTATCTTGTACAAGATATGGAAAGGTTTATAACTGTGCACTCAAAAATAAAAATAGGTCATGTGATGGACAACTTAAAGATGTTTAAATCTAAAATTAATTTGTATCCACAGTCATCAATGTCACAGTTTTAAAGTATACTTTAAAATTCAAAACTGTGATGTATCATTAATGAAATTATAATATTCATATCAATTATAAAGAGTAAAATGTAAGAATGCCAATATTTAGATACTCAAAAGTCAAAGATCCATTTTTTTTCATTCAAAATCTTTTTATTGAAAACATGTTTCAAGCCAAGCATGGTAGTACACTCTTGCAATTCCAGCTACTTGAGAGGTAGGAGGATTGATGCCAGTGTGGGCAACTTAATGAGACCCTGTCTCAAAATAAAAAAATAAAATAAAAAGGACTAAGGATGTAGCTCAGTGGTAGAGCACCCCTGGGTTCATTCCCCAGTAATACTTCCCCCACCAAAAAAAGAGAAAGAAAATATGTATCAAAAACACTTAAATTATTTGAAAGAAGTACAACCACCCAGAATTTTTCATTGTTGTCAAGAATGAAGTGCACACGGGCTGGGGATGTGGCTCAAGGGGTAGCGCGCTCGCCTGGCATGCGTGCGGCCCGGGTTCGATCCTCAGCACCACATACAAACAAATGTTGTGTCCGCCGAAAAACTAAGAAATAAATATTAAAAAAATTCTCTCTCACTCTTAAAAAAAAAAAAAAGATCCAAAGCACACTGTTCCTCTTTAAAAAAAAAAAAAAGAATGAAGTGCACAGTAATTAATATTGGCCACAGAATGTGATCAATTATAATTCCACATTGAAATACTTTACCCAACTACAATTGCGCCAAAAAACCTAAGTAACTAGACGATACCAGTTCCATTTTCCTGTTTGTATCCTTGTCAAATGCAGTAGCTGAAATTAGAAAATTCAGTCACTTTTAAACTGCATTCCAATTTAAAGAAAAATTTGTCAATTTTGTATCATGCATTAATGCAATGTTTTCTTAGTAATAAATATTTTAAGATTTGTAAAAACTACAAAATCTAGATGCTAATGTCAGTGACAGTTTAGGAGCTGATTTGTAGCCACTTTGGGTTTAAATATAAAGTTTTTCCATTGCTTTTTGAAAAATACTACAAAACTCATTTTAGAAAAAAAAAATAGAAAAAATATGTCTAACATTGCTCCATCTGTTCCAACTATTGGCAAAAATTATTTTTGTGTGTGTGTATGGCCTATATTCTTAATGCTCAGAAAAATACAAGTAGGCAGCATGCAGTATTTGCATTAGAAGACACAAAGCATGCAGCATGAATGTGGTGAACCTGCATTTCTATAAAATGGCTTTACCCCACCCATTCTTTTTTAATGTGTCATGCACATTAGAGGGCAGAATATGAACATCACAGGATCCTGGTCCACAAACGGAAAGCATATGCGAAAAACAATGAATTCAAAAGCAAGTTATGTGGCTGTGATATTTTGTGTGTGTGTGTGTGTGTGTGTGTGTGTGTGTGTGTGTTTTCATCCATAGTTCCTGACTTATGGCTCCTAAAACTCCTGTAATTTCCTAAGTGGTAGAATAATAAAAAGTACCTTAGTTTAAGTTACAGTCTTTTGTTTGAGAGTGATAAAAATGAAAGGTAGTGCTATGTTATTTATACCAAGCTCCATTCTGCCACTCCTGAGTTTTTATTAATAAGGTGATTTTTTTCAAGTTTCTAGATAAATACAGGATTGAGGCAGAGGGGACAGCTGCCTAGAGAACCCACCAAATGCTTGTAGGGTGCCAGAAGAACTCAACAATTTCATTCTCCAGTGAGGAAAGGGCACTGAAGTTTTCATGAATAGTCAATTACTTAATCACGTCTACATAATAAAACTTCCATAAAAATCTAAAAAGACTGCTCCAGGGGCTTCCAGGAAGGTGAAGAATACATACTTGAACCAGGAGAGGCACACCTAAATTCCACAAGGGCCAAAGCTTTTTTTTTTAGCTCAATACTCTTCCAAACCTTACCCTATGTATTTCTTCATCTGCTACTCATTTATGTCCTTTAAAATATCCTTTATAATAAACCAGAAACACAAGTGTATGCACAAGTTGTGTGAGCCACTATAGCAAATTAATTGAACTCAAGGAGGGAATCAATAGAATATTGATCTACAGTCAGAAGCCAAAATTTTATTTATATATAATTATTAAGTTAAATTGACAAATAAATGTAAATTGAAGAAAAAAAGACTTACTAGTCAAAGCCCTTCAAGCATATAATATCACAACAGCATTATCTGATATAGTAAAAAGACTAAGAGTTTAAAGGCAATTGCTATTTCTACAGAGTGTACCAACAATTTTCTTCTTTCAAACTACATATAAGCCAAATTACCTACTTGTATATTAACCCATAAATTTACCATAAATAAAAATATCTTTAATTCTATCCTATTTAAAATATAAATATAGTAGGATGCAGTGGTGCCTGCCTTACTGTAACCCTGGCAGCTCTGGAGTCTGAGGCAGGAGGATCAGCAACTTAGTGAGGCCCTGAGCAACTAAGCAAGATCCTGTCTCTAAGTAAAACATAAAAAAGGAATGGGGACGTGGCTCAGTGGTTAAGCTCTCCAGAGTTCAATACCCAAAAAAAAAAAAAAAAAAAAAAAAAAATTTTTTTTTTCAAGGCCAATCTCAGCAATTTAGAGAGACCCTGTCTCAAAAATTAAAAAATAAAATAGTGTAAAGCACCCCTGGGTTCAATCCCAGTATTTACTAAACTAATATATAAATGAATAAATGGAAAAGTTACAGAATGATATCAAGAACATTTTAGATTTCTAAACAATAATTGTAAATTTACTTAAAATATTGCCAGCCTCAGCAACTTAGTGAGCCTTTGTCTCAAAATAAAAAGTTTAGGGCTAGGGATGTAGCTCAGTGGTAGAGTGTCACTGGCTTCAAACAAAAAAAAAAAAAAAAAAAAAAAAAACCACAAACAAACAAAAGCTATCTATCTATAAAGAGCTTTCACTAATTATATTACTAAATAAAATAGCATTCTATGGAACTAAAAGCTAATATAATCCTGCCCCCTCTATATATTCTTTATTTATAAGTTCCTATAAACAAAAATCTAATTACTTCTTCCCCTTTCACCTTTTTGATGCTGGTCTTTATATCTGTTAAGAATGTGGAATCTACATTTAATTGATGCATCTTAAAAATATAATTCCAACATAAAAATGTTTTAATAATTGTTTTTATTTCCTCATTGAGCAGAATAATTACAGTGTATTTCTGCTTCATAACTTCATAATTTCATTTGTTTCATTTGCCAATCCTTTATAAACCTAAGAGTTTTTCTTAAAATTATTCTCTTATTTAAGTAGCATGTGAATGTTTACTTTTTTTCTTTTGAAAAATAATTTCTTTTGAGAAATAATTATCTTTGAAATAATTTACATAGAATAATTTTATTTTTCTGCCACCCCAGAAGATAACATGAACCAAAAGGAATACTGACAGACCAATCTATAATTTACTAATAAAAATTTATAATCTCAGAAGAATAGATTAATGCTTAAATTTAAAAGGGAAGGGAAGCATTATACCTACAGTATCCTATATTTAAGTCTAACAATTTCAATATTAGCAGTAGCCAATTATCATACCAAATCCTAGTAATAATGGTAAACTTGAATTAAAAACATAGCTTCTTTTCAGAAGTGGTAGAGCTACACTATCTAGTGTAGCTCAATGGTAAAGTGCTTTCCCAGCATGTATGAGGCCCCAGGTTCTATTCCTAGCACCAAGGAAGGAAGGGTTCCAGGGATGGAGATAAACTGAGGGAATCACTAAGATTCACTCTGAATATTGAAAGTAGCTGGAGGGGGATATACAGATTATATCTACATGGACTACAAGGATATCCCAGGATTTGCAAATATTATTAATTAATTTGATGAGAATGATAAAATATTTTAAATGGTATCTCATATAGGAATCTATATATATTTTATATATCCCTTGCTTAAACTATATTTAAAAATTAACAACTATTAGTTCTAGATGTGTCAACTATAAGTTACTTTACCACAATATTTTAGTGCTTAAAATGCAATGGGATTATATTTTATATAGGACTAACCATACTTTTTACAGAAAGCTCTGAAATTAGAAACATTTTTTAAAGTTCTCAAAAGAAGTAAATACCTTTCATTCATTTAAAATATATGAAAAAAATGACATTTAACTAAGCTTCCAAAATCAAAGCTGTTCTCTAGCATTTAAAAATAATTATGCACGTATATTTTATAACTTTTCAACATCTGTGTAAAATCAACTGAGTGTTCTAAAAAAAAAAACATTAAAATAAAAGCCATAAAATTTTTTAAGTGTGTTAGGTGAACCAATAGTGGAACGGAGAAGGAGTAAACTATTGACTACTCACAAAAACCCAATACAGGATATTTGGAAACAATTTCTGATATAAAACATATTGTTGAATCAGTTATTCTTCGTAAGGATTATATTTTTCTTACTGGTAACAATGACTTCAAATCTAAACATCTTGTCTGATAAAAGTCACCAGATATAAGGATATATTTTCAGATTAAAGAAGAAAGATATTCAGAGAAAAAAATTATAAGGCCAACATTCATCTTGTCAAGAGATTAAAATATCTAGAACACACAAAGTGGCTGCAAACCTGCTTTGTCAACACCTTACATGCCAACCTTCATTTTCTACTTTTTTTCTTCTTATTATAATATTAATGTAAAGTTCAAAACTTTACAAAAAGGTTTAGTTTCAATCAGTATCAATCCACTATTTAGAAACAAACAAAAAAATAAATGAAACAAAAACAAAAACAAAAATAGGAAGGAAGAAAGAAAGAAGAAAAGACTTATGAAGAAGTCTGAAAACGAGACCGACCTATACCCTGGGTGAGATTGGATGGGTTAAGTGTCTCTGGCACTATTTGTCTTCACTATTGACAGACACTGTCACACAACCCACCACACGATGCCTGTCTCTGAATGGCGAAGCTAGAATGCAAGTTAAGTGTATTAATAGAAAAAACAACTAGCATCCCAGCATATAAAATAAGCAATCCAGATTAATTAACAAAAAAAACTGTAGGATTGATCATTTAATTTACATGTTTAAAGCAATTTCAATTTCCCATTTATACTTTTCCCACCCAACATAAGTTTACATGCTACAATAAGCAATGTTTTAAAATAAACTTTAAAAAACTAAATCATTAATATCCAAATAAATGCATATGGGAAAATTTCCTACCCAAATTTTTTGTTAACTCATATTCACCAATTTGTTCTTCTGTTTATAAATGCAATCTAATCCATAAGTCAGAATGCTCTCTCTCTCTCTTTCACGTGGTTTTTAGACTATGCTCATACCTAAACTCTCTTAGAGAAAGAAGATATGTTCTGAATAATACACTCAAGCAGTAAGAGATACTGTATTTTAGCAGCAAAAGAATCTTTTCCTTTCTTAGGCATACTGATTCCCACATAATTCCTTTTCCTTCCATCAAAAAAGTTACCAATTTGTAATTTTAAATTATATATGCCTCTATGCATAAAACGTCTGATCCAAAAGCTCTAGTTTAAAGAACAATTACACTACTATTGAAGCTGAATAGTTTGCTAATGATTTACTGGAGACCATCTTTTAATTTCCCAGTCCATCAAACTGTAATTCAGGGTTCTAATGCTCTAAAATAATTATTTTTCTGGTTTTAGTATAAACTCTCCTAATGTAGTCATGTACCGTGTAACACGAATTTTCAATTAACAAAAGACTGAATAGTCAATGGTGGTCCAAATACATTACATCATCCAATGACATAGCTGTCTTAGTATGTGTTAAATACACGGTAATGTTTGCACAATGATGAAACTGCCTTATGATGCATTTCCCAAAACTTATCCCCACAGTCATGCATCACTTTTTTTTAATTTGGGTTTTTTTTTTCCTAGTGCTAAGAATAGAACCCAGGGTTTCACACATGCTAGGCAAGCATTCTACATATAAGCCATATTCCCAGTCCATGACTGTAATTGCCAGAATGCAATACATACATAGATATTAATTAAAGAATGATTCCTGGAAAATAAAATTGTTTTTTTCTGACATTTAGTGAAATGTTTTAAATGAATCTGTTGTGCCACCACACAAAAGAATTTAAGCACAGTGTAAAACATGTACTAGGTATACATTAAATTACATGTTATTTGTTTTTTTGTAACACTGGAGATAGATCCCAGAGTCTCACATACTAGGCAAGTGCTCTAGCTGCAGCTGCATTCCTAGCCCAATAATTTGATTTTTCAGTCCTTTTCAAGCTCTTTCCTATTGAAACAGAAAGATGTTTTCTATTATCCAGAGACTAAAGTACTACTGGGAGCACTGCTGGTCAATAGTTGGTCAAGAGACTAAATACCAGAAGTAACTCTCTACCTCAAATAACTTCAAAAAAAGGAGAATAAGAAAGAAATTACATTAATTGTCAAATACATTTATTATACTGCCAATGACCCAAGTGTAAGTAAAAAATTAGATAGCCAACTTTAGAATTATCTTCCTTCAGAAACTGTCTGTCCTTCCTATGACTTATCATACTCTATCAATGTTCTTTATTTACAAGAGTTTCTATTGACTCTGTCAAAAAAAAAAAAAACCTTACATAGTAAAACTAATGGCATTTATAAATCTAGTTTTTATTTTTTTAAGTATTAGAGATTAAATTCAGGGTCTGGCATATGCTAGGCAAATGCTCTACCACTGAGCTACTTTCCCAGCATTTTTTCCCCCTTAGTGGTACTAAGGCACGAATCCAGGGTTACTTATCAATGAGCTACATCCCCAGTCCTTTCTATTTAATTTTGAGGTAGGGTCTCACTAAGTTGCTGAGGCTAGCCTCAAACTTGATATCCTCCTGCCTCAGCCTCCCAAGAAGCTGAGATTACAGCCATGCACCACCATGCCCAGCTAAATAGTATCATTTGTTATATAGAAAACATATCAAATAAACAAGTAAAGCTCTTTTGTTATATGAATTATGTCAATGTCTTTGCTTATATTATGTTATTGGTGAGATAAAAAATTAGCTCACTTCTGGGCATTAATTTTTTCTTCTTTTCCAGTACTGGGCATCGAGTACCTAGGGCCTTGCACATTCTAGGCAAGTCCTCTACCACTGACACTGAACTACATCCCCACCCTGAAGTGCAATTGTACAAAGCACATAAAAAGCGTCTATTTTATGTAAATATTTGTCTTATAAATGGTTAAGAATCTGACCAGTTTTCAAATGCATTTCTAAGTGCTGGGATATAGCTCAGTGACAGAATTCTTGCCAAGCATGTGTAAGGCCCTGGGTTCAATCCCAGGCAAAAAAAAAAAAAAAAAGTGTATACACACACACATACACACACATATTAACTAATTAAAATAAAACACTGTTCTACAAACTCAGGTAACATATAAATGTGTACTCTTTAATCAGAAACTGAATAAATAACAATTATTTATAAAAATTACTGCTAAACAGTCAGGCATGGTGGCACACACCTATAATCCCAGCTACTTGGGAATCTTGAGTTAAAAGGATCACAAGTTTGAGGCCAGCCCAGAAAACATAATGAGCCCCTATCTCAAAACAAAATAAGAAGGACTAGGAATGTAACTTATTAGTAGAAGACCTGAAATTGCATAGCAAGTACAAGGCCATGGATTCCACCTCCAACACAGAGAGGAGAAAAAAAAAAGTTGATGTTAAAAATTAAAAGGACAATAAAAGGGAAATATTTAGAGAACACAGCAATAACAATCAAGATTACTTTCTAATAATAACAATTATAATGTGGATAGCCACCTGAATAAGCAGCTGTTTCTAAACTAATGGTTATGGCTCCAAGTTTGCTTATACTTTTCATTCTAATAAATCTGTATATACACACAAGCTATTTTTACATGTAAGTATGTATATTTATATTTACTATGGAATTTCAGAATATTAAGATCAAGGCAGAGTAGAGATTTTTCAATTTACTTGTGAAACATATCTGTAACTTGGATCTCATTTCCTTCTTAAGTGGTCCAATTTTCTAGGCAAAGTAAGAATGTCCATATGACATCAACTCACAACATTTTAGCTTACAACATCAATAATTAATTATCTTTCTTATTAATGGCTTTATTTACAAATAACATACTAAGTGGTGAAAATTCTGAAATATATTAACTCAGCAGGCAAATTTACTCTTCAAATATAGTCAATTCAAGAATGAAATTCAAATCACATAGCATTAAGTACTTTCTAGTACAAGGAAATAAGTTATAATAAATTCAACAGGATATATAATTCTGTTGCTATTAATTAGTTTTTTAAAAACAATATTCTTCAAAAAATCATATTTCCAATTTTCAAGTCCTAACACTTCTAAGAAAAAGGCATGGCTTTTTCAACTTAATCCTACAGACTTCTTCATCTAGGATATTATGTTCCCCTAAACCAAATGATAGCACACAATGTTAAATTCCCTCAAGAAAATGGCATGGAGTAAAGAACTAAGACTTCAGCAATAAAGAAGAGGTGTACTTTTGGCTAGAATGACTGAGATATGATTATATACAATGATACGCAAATTATCTAGCACAATTCCAATAACAAAATGGAAACTCGAAAATAATAACATTTTCTTCACCTCAATTTTTGTATGTTTTTGTTGTTATGGATGATTTAGAAACTCCTTTGAGGTTAATTTAAATGATTGAGAGGTCTAAAATGAAAGATGGCTGTTCTCTGGTTACCAGACATTAATTTAGTTGTCAAGTATTCTCTTTTACAGTGTAAACGGCACTCAATTAGGTTCTTTCAACATAGAAAACACAGATTATACACTTGAGATTTAATAATTGCCATGGCACAGAATTCAGAGCTCTTTAAAAGAAGTTTATTATATGGATCACTTTGTGTAAAGTTATAAACTTAAATTTTAGCCTTAAAAACCTACAGTGATCCAATTATTAGAGATCTTCAACACAGATTTCTATTATACATGCTTTGACTGGGTCACCATACATCTTAAAAACTGTTTGGAAGTATACTTCTAAAAAGAGCAATAATATATAATTTTGGAAATAAACACCAAATTTATGAAAATAAAAAATTATAAACTAGTTATGAATATTCTATGAATCATAAAACTATAGTTTATTTAATTCATTACTTAGCTCAAAAATTTGAATAAAAAATTTTTTAAAGATATGAAAGTCACCTTAGCACAATATCATATTTTGTTATAAACTTGTACTTATAGTAAGATATACCCAAATGAAGACAGTCTGGGATAGGAATAATTTGATTTCTTAAAATTTCTTAAAATGAACTAACAGTTACTGTTGACTTCTGTGAAAGAATTCCTATTACAAATAAATTAAGTAAACCCAAAGATAAAAACTTGAAAGATAACACATTAAAAGTAATACTTAATTGTATGGCATGTGAACTGTATCTTAATAAAGCTGTTTTGTTTTGTTAACAAAAACCTGCCACACCTCATTTCAAAACCACAAATTCTGGTACATAGCTGTTAAAATTCTCCTAAATATTACCTCAATTTTAGTTCTTCTTAATCTATATCACAATAGGATTCTCAAAAAAAAAATAACAATAATGTCTTTTTCTCTTGGTCAGCTCCTTATATTGCCCACCCCCCCCAAAAAAAAAACCCCAAAATACATCAATTCATTTGGATATGCTTTTTATTTAAGAAAAATGGCCCCAGTTTTAACTACAATAGTGTTAAAATGGCCCAAGAATCTACAATAGTGTTCAAAAAAAAGTTTTAGTTCTAAAGTTTTTATTCACTAATTTACTGAACCTTAAACTCTCTACTACCTTTACATGAGATAAAGGGGAGGCAAACAAATTTTGGACTGATGGCTACATCTTCCCTATTCTGAAACTTAGCTCCACTGAAAGGAAAGAAATTTCCCTTGGGATTCATAGGATCAAAAAGATGTTATTGTTGAGAGCATGTAAAGGTGTAAATAGTATAGAAGCAAAAAAAAAAGTTGAGAGACACTCCATTACTCAGTATTCTGGATTGTGGATTAGCAGCATATTTATTCATGCACTCAGTAATATGTGCAGGGGGAAAAAAAATCTACATTGGTGAATCTGAGAAACATGTTTGTAATAATTAAATAACAAAGAATGTCCATGAACACCCATATGCCCAGCCTCCATATTTTAAAATTTAAATTGATTTAAAACTCGTGAAACACAAACCTTTATGGCAGAACTAGAAGTCTGTTCCCACCAGGCCCTCATACCTGATAGCAGCCAATCCGGCTCCTTCAAAATTCTGAAGAATTAACTATATAAGAGTCATCATTTTTATGCATTTCATATTTAAACAGCAAAAGCTACATTGTTTTTAAATTCACAGAAATTTAAATTAATGTGCATTTCCCTCGACATCTAGTCTTTTGGCCAGGAAAACATTGAATAACTTGGTAATATACTCCAAATCTCTCTTTTTTATATCACCAAGGGCATTAATATGTCAAATAAAAATGTGACTCTAATAATTTATATAACCGGTTTCCCTACAATAATTATTTTGTAATTTAAACCCTTTTAATCTCTAACAGTATAAAATACAGAAATCATTCTACCAATATGACATTAGAATACCAGAATAAACTATATTGGTTACTAAAATTAAATTATATTTAATAAAAGATTACAGATGATAGTTTTATAGATCACCAAAGCTTTGTATGGATAAAATAAAACTACCAAGGTGACCTCTATATACTCTCTTCACCATCTTTATTATGTCAATAATTTCAAGATGATAAGAATTTATTACTTTGGAATACTTCCTTTGGTCAAATCTCTTATTTTCATGATTTTTCAACTCAAAATTTCAATCTAACTTTATCTGAAGATAATTTTCTCAACTATATTGGGGGTGAGGGTAACATTTCATTAGTGACTTAAAATTAAGAACTTGTAATATTTACATATAGGAATTTTTGAAATTTAGTTTGGTATTATTTAAAAAGAAGAGTTGTTCTTTTCCCAAACCTAGCTAACATTTTTTTCAGTTTTTAAAAGGAACTGGATCTACTATAAACAGATGTTAAAAAGCACAGAAGAAACAGACTTTTAGTTCTATACAGATTCAACATGTCTTTAAAAAACAATCTCAAAAAATACAAAAGAAATCAGTTAGTCAATTTCTACATGTGGATTTAAAGTGAAATACTTTATAGAAATATTTTATTTCACATTTTATAATTTGATGTAATTTTTAAAACTAGATTTAAACTCATCAAAAATATTTAGAGCCATTTTATAACCCAGTGGATATAATGTGAACCAGGTCATTTTCTCAATTTGATTACTAAAAAGTTGACAAATTCACAATTAAATCCACAGAAACTGTTAGAAAATGTCTGGCAACACATGAACAGTGAGCAGGGCTGATAAGTTTCTTTATCATATTTAAAGTTTTCCTGCCCTCAATCAGGAAGGTATAATACTACACTATACAGTTTGGGAAACATTTAAACTACTACCTTCCACTTCACTGTTCTATTTTTGAAACAAAAAGAATTAACTGAAAACAATGGTCCGATGAACTTAAGATAAGAGGTATCCTATTAGGTAAGAAACCTCTAATTAGAAGGACAGATAAAACTTCAGATTATATAATTTTTTTTTCAGAACTTCAGATTATATAATTTTTTTTCATTTTTCATATATACTTAGCAATGTATAAAATCCCAACTTAAAATTAGTTGGGCAAGCTAATATTATGGAAAGCATTCATACTAATTTATCATTAATTAAGACTTTTTTTCTAGTAGCTTATCTGTCAATCTTTTATTGCAATTCAAAATAAAATTTGGAACCAATCTTACATAGTTATAAAGTGTATGATTTGAGAGCTGAGTAAAAATAAAACCTGAACAATTTCAAACATTACTTTCTATAAGCTTTCATTGATAGAAGAAATGTCTTTACATAAATATTATATTTATATTCAAATCTTTGATAATTTTAGATGAATTTAAAAAAGAAAAACCATATATATTTTTTAATGTAGAGAAAGATTAAAGTAACATGAACAAAAAAGGGACTTGAGAGACTTGAGTCCGTTTTCAGAATCTATAAAATATTTTTCTCTTTAAGCAGGTGTTTAAAAATAATTGTTAAAAAGACAGCTGAGTGAGGTGGCCCAAACCTATTTTCTCAGTGACTTGGGAAGCTGAGTTATGAGGACCACAAGTTTAAGATCAGACTCAGTAACTTAGCAAGATCCTCAACAATTTAGTGAGACACCGTCTCAAAATAAAAAGTAAAAAGGGCTGGGAACACCAGCACAGTGGTAGAGCAACTCTGGGTTCAATCCCCAGTATCACACACACAAAAAAAGGTTAAATAGAAATTCAAATATAATTTTCTATCCATAGCTTAGTATTTAATCTATTTATGTGAAGCCAACAAAAATTTTAAACTAGTTCCCATATTTGAAAATAAGCTCCATTTTAGAAGATGGTACTTATTATTTTCTGAAACAGTAATTACATTAAGAAAATTATATTGAAAAAATTTAAGTTTAAAGGTATACATTTTAAAACCTCCTAAAACAAACCCTCAAATCACACTCTTTTTGATATGAACTTTGCCAGCACTGTTCATGTTGGCCAGATAATATCCTAGGTTTCTTTTAAGAAAGTAAAATGAAATGCATACCAGCAGCAACTACAGCTGGAGGAGGCGAGCCTGCCTCACCACCGCTTGTCTGACTCATTGATGCTACAGATGTTTCACTAGATGGAGGTAACTGTAACTCCTTTGGGAGAAGATCATAGACAGATTCTGTGGAGAGAAATGAAAGGAGAAAAACAGTTTTAAAGAGTCATTTAACAACCTAATTACATGCGCATGAAATGAATATCATTTCTCTCACAAGAATGTTATTCACAAAAAAACAATACCATATCATGAATACTATTAAAGAATTATTAGCATTTTTTTTTCTTTTAGTATAATTTTCCTTTCATTCTGCTTCCTGACTTTTTGGCTTTATTCTTTGGGTTCAAGAGAATCTCTAGAAAGTTTTAAATTTTTAAAGTAATTAAAACTAGACAGAGGAAATACGTTAAACAACCTAAGATTGTCCAATTATTCCTTTGTAATAGTACAAGTGTAACTTGCTATTCTTTACATATAAGATGGAATATAGCATATATCAGTTTTAAATTGGCTTTTCTAATTAGTCCATTAGTCTGGATCTTTTACTCAATACCCATTAGCAAACAGTATTTTAATCCACCACCATCATAATTCGTTTTTCATGTCTGAAAAAAAAAAATAAAAAAGGAATGTCATGCCCAAGGAAATACTTCCTATTTTCTGAGGCATCTCTGACTCTGGAAAGGCACAGGTATACAATGCTTTTAAATCAGGGAGCTTATAAATACCTATTTAAGATTATGATTATTTTTGTATCCCTGATTAAAGAGTACTCTATCTATAGAACATATTTGATAATAATTTAATTGTCCATAAAATTAAATTTGTATCTGTTACTTTAAAATTGTTTTCTTGGGGCTGGGGATGTGGCTCAAGTGGTAGCATGCTTGCCTGGCATGCACGGGGCGCTGGGTTCAATCCTCGGCACCATATAAAAAAAAATAAAAAATAAAGATGTTGTGTCCACTGAAACCTGAAAAATAAATATTAAGAAATTCTCTCTCTCTCTTAAAAAATTTGTTTTCTGATTATCATTATATATTTTTCAGCTTGTTACATGTTGTTATGTGGAAATAATATTTAAGATATTGTCTAAAGGTACTAAAATCAAAGTTGGAAGGAACTTTTGAAAGAGCAGTTAGAAGCATATGTCTGTTTTCAAAAGAACTAAGGCTCAAAGGCCCAATATTCCAAGAAACCCAACACTCCAATAATTAAAGATTATTATCTGCATGAGTGACAAAAAAAAGTTAGCACTACTAGACAGCTTATCCTTGATAACACTTTTAGTTAACTGATTACTAAATTCATAAATACTTTGGTCATCACAGATAAATACTAAAGGATGTACCCTAACTTTGATATGGATAGGGATAAGGAAAAAAGTCAAGAAGGGAAGCTAAAATCAGAAGTTGAATAGTTAAATGATTTTCATTTACAGTAGAGAATAAACTTAAAAAACCCTATTACCTAACACTTGAAATGTTCATCTTCACAGCATCTGGATATTCAGCATCTGTCTAACTGAATATAACATGCCTGGTTGCAACTTTTCAGCTTATTATATGTTGCTAAACACCTTAAGGAAATTACTTCTAGCTTTCAAATAATACAGGAGAAGGGGAGATAGAATCTAATTAAATGACATTATCAACAAATATTCATTTTAATATAGTTATCTTTCTCACTCCTTGAAAACAAAAAGTTCTTTAGATATGCCAGGCATGGTATAGTATAATCCCAAATACTAGGGAGGTTGAGGCAGGAGGATTACAAATTTAAAGCCAGCCTGGGCTATTTAGAGAGACTCTGTCTCAAAGTAAAAAAGGCAGTAGATATAGCTCAGTGCTATCACACCTGGCTATGGAATTTCCTCAGAGTACCCTGGGTTTATCCCCATGTCTCTGGGGACTGAACCCAGGGACACTTAATCACTTAACCACATCCGCAGCCCTTTTTATTTTTATCTTGAGACAAGGTCTTGTTAAATTGCTGAGGTTAGCCTTGAATTTGTAATCCTCCTGCCTCAGCCTTCAAAGTAGCTGGGATAACAGGCATGTGCCATCACACCTGGCTATGGAAATTTCTTTTAAATCTGCTTCCATCGATACCAAAATATTAAAGAAATATAAATTATACTGTAAACACTATTGTCTTGTGGTCCTAAATTCAAATAATCTCTACTAGTTAATGAAAAGAACTACTGAACAAAAGAACACAGGTTCTTTAATTCTATGAAAATGACAGTCTTAAGTAAGCACTAGTCATTTCATGTTACATCACAATATCTATTTTTGCTGTTATCTTTTAAATTAGTTTAGAAAGATAAGGGAACGATGAAGGTTTATAAAAAACAAAATATTTAGAAACAGAATGGGAAATCCATAATGGAAAGACAGTTTCTGAGAAAAGATTTCTTTTACTAAAGTCAGTAGTAAAATCAGTGGGGGGACATGGAGGGCGAAAAAATAAGATTTCTTTCTGGAGTGATAAAAATGTTCCAAATTAGATTACTCTACAAATATATTAAGTGTATTCCTTTAAATGCAAAAATTTTTTTTTAAATTTTTTTAGTTATAGATGGACACAATAACTTTATTTTATTTATAAGTTTTTATGTGGTGCTGATGATCAAACCCAGTGTCTCATAGGTGCTAGGCAAGCCCTCTACCACTGAGCCATAACCCCAGCCCTATATGGGTAAACTTTTATATGTAAAGCATGAATCAATAAAGCTGGCTGTTTTAACAAAAAGGGAGAGAAAGCACAAATGAGAATTACCTAAGAGCAAGCAGTTTCTGATAAACTTCATGGACATTTGTAAAAAGCAAAATTGTGAAGAAGGCCAGATTACAAACCAATATGTCCTTTAAGGCTATTCTACGGAGGGCAAAGAAAATGTTGTAGGCAGAGTTATACTAAATTCACTAAATTAAGTGATGAAAATCTCAAAAAGTTTTTAAACAAGATGAAGAAGTGTCAACTTAATAAAATAGATGAGTTTTAACAAATGGCACTCAAAAAGTAAAAGTTCAACCTGAGGGAGGTTGGTTATTATTATACTAACAACTTGAACAAAGATTTCAAACCTGGAAATGACAGAGGTTTAAGAAGGATATATTGTATATTTCATAATTCATCACAAATAATGATTAACTAAAATACATACCCCTAAAGGAATAAGGTAAAATTTAATGAAGATTATATAGCTGATCAATGGGACTGAGGTTGTGGCTCAGTGGTAGAGTACTCACCTAGCACGTGCAAGGTCCATGAAAATAAATAAATAAAATAAAGGTATATTTTAAAAATTTTATATATATATATATATATATAAATGGCTGATCAAAAAGTTCACAGCAGCTGGGCACAGTGGTGCATGTCTGTAATCCCAGTAACTCGGGAAGCTGAGACAGAAGAATCAAATATTCAAGTCCAGCCTGGGCAATTTATCAAGACCCTATCTCAAAATTAAAAATAAAAAGGACCGAGGTTGTAGCTCAGTGATAGAGCACTTATTTAGCATGTGTGAGGCACTGGATTTGATTTTCAGCACTGCATATAAATAAATAAAATAAAAAAGGTCCATCAATAACTAAAAAAATATTTAAAAAAAAAAAGACTGGGGATATAGCTCAATGGTGAAGCACCCCTGAGGTTAAATCCCTAGTACCAAAAAAAAAAAAAAAAAAAAGTTGCACAGCACTTATATGTGTTCATTTTCCCCTGCAGTTTGTTAAATCTAGAAGTTCTTTTAATTTTGTTTTCTACGGGAAGTCTTTCTTTAGCCTAACAATTGAGCTGGTTGTTTTCTTACATGTTTTTTTCTATTAATGTTGGTAATAATTTGTGTAATAATGTTTAAACAACTCATCTATGGTTCACTATGAATTTAAGTTGACCAAAATTCCAATGTAAGTAGATTACTTAAGTATTAACATGGCAGAAATACATTTAATGCAATATAGTAACTCCATTAACATAAATTATTAATATAGGGTTTGAGAAAAGAAATTAAGCAGAAAGGGGTACAGATTCAGAATATCAAGAATTTGTCTTAGGGCTGGGGTCAAGGTTCAGTGCCTAGCATGTGTGAGGCACTGGGTTCGATTCTCAGCACCACATTTAAATAAATGAATAAAATAAAGGTCCATCAACAACTTAAAAAAAAAAAAGATTTTGTCTTATATCGGTGCAACAGTGCTGAGCATAGGGCAACTGGAAGGAGGAATAAAGGAAATGAAACCACCATTCTCAAATATTAAGAACAAATTAATTCTTCCCAAGTGGAAAGGGTGGAAAGGCAACAATATAAAAATGGGTTGACATGGCTGGCTTGTTTGTTTGGTCATTCTATAAACTCTAATTGATTCATTTATGTCACCAATTATTTCTGGATCAATTCAGTCTTTATTCTTCAACACCAGCAATGAGGGAGTTGACGAATTTCACTATAATACATCATGTTCAAAGTATACAGAAATTCTATCCTGAGGGCACAGGATAGTAAGAGAGAAAGAAAAAATTGATAACTTAATAGTTAAGCTTTTTCTTCAGTTGGGCATACTGTGACCACCTACATGCCATTCTCTGCTGCTTTATTCTGTTATTTCTTGTTCCAGGAAGATGTGAACCCCTGAAACACCCACACTTCCTCTCACTTTTTACTAAAATATATACTTTTTAAAAAATACAATAGAAGTAGAACTATTCATGGACAGGGCACAGCCTCAGAGAGCTGCTACAAAGCTTAAATAGGATAATTTTTGTTAAATTGTATACCACTAATGCTGCTGGTTCACATCTATACAGTGATTTTTTTTTAAGTCATAGTTGGACACAATACCTTTATTTTATTTATTTATTTTTATGTGGTGCTGAGGATTGAACCCAGGGCCTCGCTGTGCTAGGTGAGCCCTTTACCACTGAGCCACAACCTCAGCCCTATACAGAGGGCTTATTTATATTTATATATATTTTAAAATATATATATAAGGAAAAAAGCAGTATATAAGATGTTTGGCTAGGCCCGATGGTTCATGCCTGTAATCCCAGCAATTTGAGAAGCTGAGGCAGAAAGATGAAAATTTAAGGCCAGGGGCTGGGGATGTGGCTCAAGCGGTAGTG